GCCCACCTTCTTCAGAGGGCTTGTGGAAAAGAATCTGAAGCTGGGTAGCACACTCTTGCCCATGAACAAGTTCTTGTATCACCCTTTTCTTGTTGCTTGACAGCCTTTCAGGCCAGGGACAAAGGCTAGTACCCATAACTGTTATCAGCAAGAAAAAGGAAACCTGTCTACTTTCTACTTGGCTTTGCTCACTCCAAGTAACTAGGATCTAGGTTGCAAGGGATCAGAAGAGATAAGGATTTAATACATCGCTTTAGACAGGAAAAAGGCAGAGGTGAGGAAGGGGAGAAGCAAATGAGAGGAAAATGTAAGGAAGGGGGCATTGATATTAAGTGGGGATAGTGAAAGAAACAAATGCTGACAAAAGCAAGCTGACGTTTCTTCCTGATGGAAGCGTGATGCCAACAACATCTCTTCATAACTTCCTATTCCTTTTGTTTTTTCTGGCTGGAACCTGAGGCCGACCTCTCCTTTTCTTTCTCATCTGCAAACACAGGGCAACAACTGTACACTTATTCAAATCATGTGGAAAAAGGAAAACAAAGGGCTTGTTGATGATAAACAATTCCACCCCAAGCCATCATTTTCTAGAAAAACTGTGGCCTCAAGGAGTATTAAATGAGTGTGGAAAAACTATTTTTGTGTTTGAAATTCAAGGTAGGGTAGCCCTCAAAGATTATTCCATTGTTTTCCCCATGGACGACTTTACTGTAAACATACCACTATCTGTAGTATCATCTCTAGTTCATATTTCTTTTTTGCCTGCCTTATGTGTTGAAAATTCAGGAATGCATAAACATTTTAGACAGTCCAATGAATGGAATTCGTCTTGCATCATGCTGTTTGTAAAGTATTGGGATTCATCTCCAAGAAAAGCTTCACTTATATAATCAAATTGCTATATATATATATATATATTGTGATGATCTACAAGTAGGTACCATGTGAGTATATATGACCATGTTTCCTATTGAAAACCAAAAGCTGGCAGAAGCCATTTGTTTTTCTTTCTTTCTTTCCATTCAACTCTAACATTTAGTTTGTTTCGGATAATTTTGGACACGACCCGTTTTCACAAAACATTACATAATTAAAAAAGTTTAAATTCAGAGTTTTTTTTTATTTCGTGTCTTAAAAGTATCGACATTCTTTCTTAATTTAAAAAAAAAATGAATGGAAATTAAGAAAGGAATGGATAAATGTTTGAAGAAATTAAGGCAGGTTGGGGTAGGAGATAATAATATGGTGAGCAAAACATGACCAAAGAAAAAGTTATGGGAATATAAAGTAATAGAAAACAAAGGAAAGAAACAGATGAATTAATTTGTGATTGATATTGATAAGGAGTGGAGAAGTCCATGGACTGAACTTTCCATGAGTCTTCCTTCCCCTCCCCTTCTAGATGAACTGGTTCCATGTTTTTGACAAATTGCCCCTCCCTTTGATTGCTTGAGATTTTTAGCAAAAGATTAGGTTGACTAGTCTAGAAGCAGAAAGTGATGGGTTATTTCCTTGGTATAATATTATTCCTGGCAGTAAAGCCATAACTATAACTGTCAAACTTACATTTCTCTTGTCCTATATCATTGTACTAAAACAATAGGAAAAACTAAGTAACACTTTACTGCTGTAATTTGCAATATTAAATTCATTATTATACAGTAGTTTAAATATGGAAATGCATGAAAACAATGTAAACTTTCAATATAAACATTTAGGGTCAAAAGGAGTAATAATTTAACTAAATATATAGATTGTAATAGTTTGAAATTATGAAATATTATTTATTATTTATACATCCTATACTTATTAGTATTATTATTTTGACTTTGGATCATTTATCGCGTGTCACGACCTAAATATAATAAATTTTGACACGTATCGAAACGAAAATGAAAATGAACATTGTATAAGCATTATTATATACCCAAATATTTAGTTTAATCCTAGTTGTCAATCCCACATCATGCAAATAGTTGATTAATACCATCTTGAGGAAAATCTTTGATTGACGATTAGAATTATTATTAAATTGATTTTAATGATTCATTTAAAAGAAAATCCAGATTAAGAATGCTGTCGGTTATCAATAATTTCAGAATTATTATCTAATATATCGATAATGGAATTTAAAACTCGAATTAGAATTAACGTTGGTGATAATCATTAATAGAGTTCTTTAATTTTACAACACGAATTAAAAAGATGATACGCATTTATTTAGATTATATTTAAATAAAAATTAATTATTAAATAAACACTTGGCAATTATATAAATTTAATTACGTTATAAAAAAATTTTGCTCGTAATTGGATTTGGATAAATGGGCTTGTTTGGGTTTGGAGACTGGAGAAATGGGCTTCAAATGAGCCCATTTGGTAGTCACATGACCCGATATACCCAACAGGTATCAGCCGGGAAGGAATAGAGCAAAGTCGAAGAAAGAGCGGAAGGAAATGCTAAGGTGCAGATCACCTCTATTGCTGGCGCTGAGGATGCTTTCATCATCTTCCCACACCTCTAACCCCAACCCTATATTCCGTCTTCCCTGCACTTCTCGACCAATCTGTGCTCTCCCCCTCAGGACTCGTCTCTCTAATTCTTGCAGTTCCACTCGGAGGATGACGCTGTCCAAGTGCTTCACTGGGGCCGCTGCTGACCCGATTCCCGTCTCTTCTTCGGGCCAAACCCATTGTCGCCAGAACCCCGAGGAACCCGACTCGAACTCACTCGTGGTCGTCTCCTTTTACAGGTTTGCTGACTTTCCAGACCATGCTGATTTGCGTAAACCCTTGAAGCAACTTTGCGAGGACCTGGTACTCCTCAATCCTTTCTCTTTCATCACTTTAAAGTGATATATTCGTTTAGTATGTTTTGTAGTATAAGCTGCTTTAAACATTTGAAGGAATGCTGGTTGATAATTGGGAGGAGTTTTATGTTATCACCCTGAATTCTCAAAGCATGGGATGTTTTGATTTTTTAGTAAAAATTGGTCTTTTTTTTTTCATTATTTTTTGATATCCAAGCTCATTTAATTCGTGGAGAATATAGGGTACTGACTTTTTTTTTTTTTAGTTTGAATATATTCATGCTTTTTATTGTGGGATGCAGAAAATGATGGTGATTGTTATTGGATTTAGCTGTATGGCACTTGTTTAACTGTTAGGAACATATTCTTTTATTCTTGGCATGGTAATTCAACACCACTTTCTGCCTTGAGATTTTATTGTGCACATTCTATGTAACTTCGTTGCATTCGTGTCATTCGTACCTTACCAAGCTGATCCCATCAGCGTGTTTCAGGTGGCATCATTCTTGCCCCTGAAGGGATCAATGGTAGCATTTGTGGCACACGGGAATCGGTGGAAAGAATCCTTGGATTCATTCAAACTGATGGCCGCTTAAAAGGGTTAAGGCAGATAGAGTCACCGGTTAGTCCTGAGCAGGAAGCTATCCATCATGGACACTCTACTAGTTCTCCTCTTGCAGCAGGTGAGGATGCACCCTTTCGGTGGGACCATGTCAGAGTGAAGCTGAAGAAAGAGGTATTTTCTTTATAAGCAAAGCAGTGAGTGTCATGCTTTTTTATAATTTAATCTGTCATTTGTCAACTTCTTATAACAATGTTGCTCCTGTGTTCATGTTTAAGCAGATTGTTACTCTTGGAATGCCAGAAGTATCACCCATTGAAAAGGTTGGAAAGTATGTCAGCCCAAAGGATTGGAATGCTTTGATCAGTGATCCAGATACTGTGAGTAAAGAAGCTTTGTTGCAGCTTGGGTCTCTACATTGTGATTTACTAATTTGCTTTTCAGGATTTCACACATCTTTATTTGTTTTGAGTTCTCTATGTATTTACCATTCAAAGATCAAACCAGCTTTCTTGAAACCCCCTTTTGTCTTCAAGCATCGCTCTTTCATGTACAGCTTGTCACTGGATGGCTTATCTGATGTGGGATATAGAGATTTGACTAGCTTTCTTATTAGTTTAAACTTTGAGTCAACAACCTCATTTTATTCTGTTGTGGCATTGTGGAAGAGTATTAGTAGCATTTAACAGTTTCTGTTTCTCGCTTATGTCTATCTGGTTAGACTGCAATGGAAATGGTTTAAGTTCTTCGGTGCAAAAATTATAATTTTTTATTGATATTTACTTTATTTTAGCAAGAAAGCAAGTGTGAAATACTAAGAAATGCACTTTGTATGCCTGAAGTACTTTGATTTCAGATTCTTATTGTTCCAAGCTTATTAAGATTGATAACATCAAAAAGTTTTGACTTCCTACACAGTTCATGTGTGTCTTTCATGAGGGTTCTGATGTTCGCTTTCCTTTTGGTCTCAACTGCAAAATCATTTGAATTCAATATTAAGCCAATTAGCAGGTCAAGGCGTCAATAAATGACGTTCTTTGCGTTGAAAATTGGCAATAAATAATAGCGATGCACCATGCTATCAAAACTTTTTGTTTGATTGGTTTTGAACAAGTCACGATATTTTAGTCAGCAAAAAAATCCTTCGCTACCCCCCAACCACCACTTTCTTGACCTGTTAGAAGTGGTGGAGGGATTGGAACTGATTGTTTTAACTGATCTTGTTGCTTATTTTATATTTAGGTGGTAATTGATGTTCGCAATAATTATGAAACTAGAATTGGGATGTTCAAAGGAGCAGTGGATCCATGTACCACAGCATTTCGTGACTTCCCATCTTGGGTGGAGGACCAGTTCCAACTTGATGGTTCAGATCTGGAGCATGCAAAAGTGGGGAAGAAAGGATTGGATGAAAGCATGAATAAAGATGCAGAGATTCCAAAACAAAAAATGCCAAAGCGGGTTGCAATGTATTGCACAGGAGGAATTCGATGTGAGAAAGCATCGAGTTTTCTCCTCAACAAAGGTTTTGAAGAGGTTGCTTTTCCTTTTGAACCTTATCTACGTTATATGATGTTTTGTGATCCATGGTCATGATGCTTTGCCACTGTTTCTGTAGTAAAGTTATTCTTTTAGGAGTTGTTCCTGAATGAAATGTTTCTTGAAACAACTTGAGAGTCTATCTGTAGAATTAGAGATCTCTTTATTATTTACATTCCATTCCTAAATCAAGTTGTGAAAGTGACCATTCTGACGCTGTTTTATGATTCTTAAATGTTTTATTAGGTCTATCATTTGAAAGGTGGGATTTTGAAATACCTAGAGGAAGTCCCCAAAACAGAGAGCCTGTGGGAGGGGGAGTGCTTTGTGTTTGACAAGCGAGTCTCTGTTGAGCATGGTCTGGTACAAGGAAATTTCAAGCTTTGCTATGGGTGTAAGCAACCTGTTAGTGATGCTGACATGGAAGCAACAGAGTGGGAGTATGGGGTTTCTTGTCCCCACTGTTTCTCGTCAAAGTCCGAAGAGGAGAAAGAGAGAGCAAGAGCACGACAGAGGCAATTTGAGACTTGGGGCATTATTGGTGGTCTGGATAAGGGCCGGCGACCTGCATCAAAGCTGGATAGTATAAAGAGGAACCAAGCCAAGCTCTCATCTTCAGTTTAATCTAGTCAGCAGATGATCCAACACAGTCGAAATGTTGGAAGAATTAGTTGTAAGAGTCCGTTTTGACTCTGAAGGTTTTAGATAGCAATTAGTAATTGGAGATGTCCAACACAGTTTTGTACTGAGCTTGTAGGCAGGAAGCTTGTTATCTCAAGATGAGGAAATGAGACTCTGTTTCAAACTTGTGGAAGTTGGTTTTGTGTGCCATTTTGATTCAGACTCCATTAATGTATCTTGCAAGAATGTCATTACCAACTGTGTGACCAAGACTTTCGTTGGTTGCAAGTCTTGTGTCCATGGAGAGCTGCTGTGTTTGAGCTTCGTGGCTAGTCATGGTGGACAGAGATAACACAAACTTACAACAAAGTGCTCATCTCAGTTCTCATATCCATAGCTAAGACTTCATACCATAATTTTTACATCTTAGTAGCAGGAATTAGCATGCATTTGATTAATTAAAACTGAAATTAAATAAATTTAATCGATTTTGATTAATTTGTTTGAAATTTTTATAAATATTAAAAAAAGAAAAAGAAAAGGTAAGAGAGAAGGGCCGATAGCTGACGTGGCAAAAAGAGGTACGGTTGAAGCGGTGGAAGAGCGGATATGCACCGTTGATGAGAAACAATCGGAGGGTGTAAAAACGATTAGAAATATAGGAGTTGAACATTCGACATTGGACATAGACGGAGGCTGAAAGGGAAAGGGATTCAAATCCAATTCGCCATAATTAATTCTACTACCTCTTCAAGGTTAGGGTTTTTGAAAATCGGATTCGGAGGTATTACGGAATGGCAGGAGAAGGCGCTATGTTCAAGTTCCTGAGGCCTAGGCTCCGTCCTCAGCCCGCGGATATCCAGGCCGCCGCTTTGTGGGGCGTCGCCGGCACTACCGCCGCTCTTTGGCTGATCCAGGTTTCTTTCTTTCTTTCTTCCTTTTGAATAACTATTGCTGTATTATTATTAGATCAACAGGAAAAGTCTACCTTTGATTGTTTATCTAGGGATTTGGCCCAAATTGTTCTTTGGGGATCTGTCTTTGGGACAGATCTTTGCTTCTAATTTAAAGCTATGAATATTGATTTGATTAAACGGTTGATGCCTGCTTCGGTATCCCTCAAGAACCCATTCATTCTGTAATACTAGTGTCATTTTGAATGTAGGATTCAATGCATTGATTTTTTATTATCTAGTTGGAAAACAAGGCTTTTCAATTATCATGTTCACTTCTGTTTTTGCTTAATCACACACCCATGGCTATGCAGTTACTTCTTAAAAAGAAAAATTAGACTTTCTGCTGGACCTTAGGGGTGTTTGGTCCGCGTCAAAAGATGGCCTTTTTATGTAGGATAGCTTCTGCTTAATAATGAGAAAATCACCTTGTATTTATGGAATATTGGAAACTTCTTTTCCCCTTTAGACAGTTATAGAGGAAACATAAAGCAGATAGGAGTTGTGAATTGGGCACATATGCCTTGATGGTGAGGGTTTCAATTGGGATATGGTTCTGTTAGGGGTGTAATATGATTGAACAGAGCACTCTTGGATACAAATTCTCTTTTTTGACCATGTTCGGATGCAGAATGGTTACTATCGTTGTCCACTTTTCCGATTAAACTTTTTGATCCTTAGCTGGTTCTCTGTTATGTTTCTTTTCGTTTTGCATTGACTTCTGCACACTCATGGCACCCTTTTGGCTGAATCCTTCCTGTCTCACCAAAACTATCATCTATCTCATTTTGGTTCCAACCACACATGATCTGTTGGTTTAACATGTTTAAAACTGGTGTCAACATCATGCAAAGAGCTTCCCCTCTATGACCTTGTAAAGATCTAATCTGCAATTACTCAAAGGTTATATATGACTGGCTAATTTGGTTAACCTTTGTTTTGTAAAGGTTGTGAGGTTGAGCTTGATTTGTGCATTCAGTCAACTAAATGAAACTCAGAAAGATGGGATATGACCATTTTTTCTACCCTAAGCTTGGTTTGGTTGATTAATTAAATGGATGCTTATTCTTATGCTTATTTTGTTGAGGAGATTTTGAATTTCTGTTTTCCATGTTTGATTTTTCTTATTTTGAACTGCCTTTTTATTTTCACATAAATTTTGCAAAGTGTGCTTGTATGGTGAACCTGTCATTAGAGATTACAGTAGTTTATGAGTTTTTGAATGATTAGCTAACGATCGAAACTTCTCTTTCTTTTGCCAGCCTTTTGATTGGTTGAAGAGGACCTTTTTGGAGAAACCACAGTCTGAGTAGAAGCAAGTGGGATCTCGCAACTCGTTGTGATTTTGTTTATCAGATTGCTGATGAGGGAATCGACATTTGAATAATAATGTAGTTGTAATTTTCTGATTGATAGTAGTTTTACGATGAGAATGAGGCCACCTTGGCATTGCTTCTTTGGAACTTTGAAAGAAACATTATCTTTTTCAGTTTGGGAGTTAATTCCTGTGTTTCAGGAATAGTTGGTGGAGATTCTGTCTGGCAAATGAAAATAAATCAAAAGAGAAATGGCATTGGATATGAATGATTGAACATGATCAAATGCATACACTAAACTTCAGCATTTCATGATCCTTTTATGTTTTTTGTCCAGTATTTCTGTTGGAAGCAGTTGCAATTCATGCTTTCCATGTTGCAATCGAGAATTAACCATTCATTTTGCATGAAAAGAGTGAATTATGAATATACCATGGTACCTTCCAATATTAAATTGTTAAATTATATCTCATTTTTTTAAATTAGTTTTTAAAATTTCCTAAGCGAATTTAATTAAATATATGTGGTAATGTTGTATGACAATCTTACTAATTCTTTTCTATCATACATTCATCTCATTAATTTTCATGACGATAAATATTATAATTTATTTTTAAATATAATTTATAAATAATCTCAAATTAATAATTTGATAAATTCGTTTGGATAAAGATCAAGAAAATAATTTATTTTTTAATATAATTTATAAATAATCTTAAATTTAAGAAAAAATATTAATTGAAAACAAAAAAAACCCCTTAATCCACGTGTCGAGTTGGAAACACAGTTGTAAGATATTTAGAACTGTCAGATTAGAGTCCTGACTCCTGTTAACTTCAATAGCTAGGCAAACTCGCTCGACCTCTGTTTTCACATTCTCTCAACATCCCCTGTTTTACTGCTGTAAATTGCAGTTGATTCTCCTTTTTTGAAGTAATTTCGTTTAGTAAAGGAAAAAAAAAAAGAATGGAGAAGGTGAAGGTGAAGGAGAAAGAAGTGGTGGAATTGTTTGAAGCGGCCAAGAAAGCTGCGGACAGGGCGGCGGCGCTTGATGGCGGAGCCTCCGAGGAAAGCCGTTGCATTGATGCTCTCTCTCAACTCAAGGACTTTCCCATCACTTATCAACTACTTGTCTCCACTCAGGTACTCTGTTTTTTTTTTTTTGACATTTACTCTCTTTCGGTTGGTCTTTTTCTATGAATAATTTTTCCTGCAAAAAAAAAAAATGAATTTTTCATCTTTCTGTTGAATGTAAATATGGGTTTATGTTCTTTTTTTTTTAATTTTTTGTTCTGCTTGGATTTCTGATTTTGCTCTGTTTTTCCCGGGAAACAAGCAGTATTTTCTTTTCTTTTAAGAGAATAAATGTATTAGGTTTATTATTATTATTTACATTCTAAGATGTGGTTTGTTATTCAGGTTGGTAAACGACTTCGGTGTCTGACAAAACATCCGAGGAAGAAAATCCAGGCTTTTGCTTGTGACTTGCTGCAGATATGGAAAAACCTGGTTATCGAGAAGAAGAACAGTGATGATAACGATGGAAAAGTGGGAAGCAAAAGCTCTGTTAGAGCGGAGCCGGCAACTGCAAAGCTTGCGTATGCTAAGAAGGTGCAAAAGACACAAAAGAATGGCACAGCAAACCCTGAGAGAGCTGCTGAAGAAACCAATTCTGTGGAGGATAAGGTTGAAAACATAATCAAAGAAGAGAGGCAAGCTTCTTCTGATGCGAAATCTCCTCCAAAGCTGTCTTCTATGGTGAAATGTAATGATGAGTTGAGGGACAAAGTAAGAGAACACATTTATGAGAGCTTGTGTAAGGTCTTTAAGTTTTTGGCCAAGGGGTGGATGGAAAACTTCCTAGAAGAAGTAAATGCCTGTGATCCATAAGAGTGGCTGTTTCTGTGGAGTCTGCCATGTTTGAGAGCTGGGGCAAATCTAATAGTGCCAAGAAGATTCGATACAGGTCACCTTGTTTAACATGAAGGATCAAAACAACCCAGATTTCCGGAGAAAAATCCTGCTTGGACAAGTAAGCCGGAGAAGATTGTCACCATGACAACAGAAGAAATGGCAAGTGATAGGAGGAAACTTGAGAACCAACAACTCAAAGACAAAGCTATATTTAACTGTCAGCGTATGGATGCTCCAACAGCCACAACCGATCAATTCAAGTGCGGTCGATGTGGAAGTCGGAAGACAACCTACAGTCAGATGCAGACTCGGAGTGCTGATGAACCCATGACAACATATGTAACATGTACAAATTGCAATAACCGTTGGAAGTTTTGCTAATGGTTCTCATGTTGCTCCATCTTCATATTTTCTTTCCTGAGAACCATCTAGGAAAGGTCATTAGGCTGCCAGCAACTGTTGTGTTTTCAGCATTTGCTGCAGTTTGCATGCTTAAGTTTAGGATAGGAGCTGTAATTAGTAGTATTAGGAGCTGTTATGAATTTTTTACCAGTTAGGAGTGGATTGTTATAACTAACTTTTCTTTGGCTCTCTTCTCGTTTAGCTTTGTCAAAATTGTGACATTTTCAACATTTATTAAGCAACTTGTTGGATGATTGTGACAGAGCAGCTGAACCTGCTAGCCATTGTGTGGTAGTGCCACAGTTTGCCAAAGTTGTTGATTGTGAGAACTTATATCCAGAATTCCAACTGTCTGTAAATCCTGCTTGTGGTTCCTGAGCAAAGTAATTCATGCAAAATCTAAAATGGAATTTGATTTTTCATAGAATTTCTAGAGCAAATAACATCTTCCCACAAGGCATGATCATCTTTACTTATTCTTAGTGGACAAGTATAGTTGCAAGCTAACTGGAAACCTGCCAGTGAAGTAAAAGAAATCCTATTGTTTTTGACTTGAAAATAAGAATTGCAGAGAAACAGTTGGCCTGATAAGTTATTTTTTCAGTAGCTGAATGTTTATTTACTTGACAAAAGTCAAGATTGTTGTTGAGACTGAGAAGGTTTGCTGCGTGCCTTGAGAGCCTGAAAAACTCTGGAACTCTTATCAAAGATCTGGGCTCTTCTGTTGTAGTCAGTAGGCTCTTTCCCTTGGTCTTCCCCCATGATTGCTTCTGTTTCCAAGCACTCTAACAGCTCCACCACTCCTTTCCTTTCCTTGCACCTTTCTCCCAGTTTTCCCACTCGCATCCACTCTTCTTCTTCAGTTTTCATCTCAGCTTCCAGTTCTCTTTCGAATTCAGCCAATAAGCCAGAATCAGAAGCCACGCACCCAAGTCCTACTCCACTACCAAACCGCTGCTTTAACCTCAAACCATGAGTTCCCAAACCCCTAGATGGCATCCTCAACCGACTAAAACGACCATCGAGTGATTTTGGAAACTGCTTGATGGTCTTGTTAATGGGTGGCGATGAACCAGTACCCTGAGTGCTTGTCTGACAAAGAGCGGCTGTTTCCATGTCGCTAAAGGAGTAGTTTGTGCTGTAACTTCTTCTGTGGTTCTAATGAACTTGTCTGATTCCAGCCTTCTGGGGTAGTTTTATAGTTGAGTTTGGGAGCCGATGCAACCGCTCCACGTAGCACAATGTGGTTTCAAGATGCACACGAAACATACACAGAAACCGCGTGTCAAGACTTGGGTAGGGTGTTCGAGTACGTTGGTCCTATATTCCTAGCAGAAGGGCACACGCCTCAAAGATCAAAGTGAACGCCCTTGTCAGCACTCAACTGGCCATGTCCTTGTCACTGGTTTTGTGTTCACATTGTTCAAGACGTAACATTTATGTTCTCAAGACTAACAGTGCGGTCCTCACATGGAGAGAAGATGAGTTTGCCAAGGAACTGTTTGAATTTTCCATGTTTGACACCAGAAGCTCTACATTTTGACGATGCCATCTCATTCTGTAGTGCAGTTTATTTATGATAATTTTTAGCTCTGTTTGTAAAGCAACAAAATAGTTTATTTATTAATAAATTGACCTGCATTTGCATAACTTATTAAATTAGTTATATACATAACACACTGAATTCAATTAGTCTCAGCAATTGAAAGCTCAAAGAGCTAATGGGGGAAGACCAAATATGAACCTTAACTCAAAAGCCTAAAAATGAATTTCTACTATTATCTTAACTACCTGATGGAACTGGTCATTGCTCTAAAGAAGTTTCAAGCTCAATCAGAAAGAATATCATGCAGTTGGGTTTCCTCTGAGTCTCCTCTCAGCTGCTATGGCAGCAGCCATGGAAGGAGGCAAGTTTCTCAGACTTTCACTTTCAGTCGGCTTTTCATCAGTTTTGGGTGCTGCTGCGAAGAGGGATTCAACATCTTTGAGCGTCAGAACAGGCTGGTCTTGATTCCTGGTGTTCCCAACAAAGCCACTAGAGTTCCTGCTTCTGTTTAGTTTATATATGCTCTCTTCCACTGTGTTTTTAACCTAATATCAACAAGATAAAAATCACATCAGGCCAGAAAACCATGCATGTAGAAGCCAATGATCCGAATTTAAAAATGAAAATGAAATGAAGCAAATGAGTTCGGATCTTAGATTATCATGTTCGGTTATGTTGAACTCAAGATATAAATCATTGAATGCTATTGTTCAACATTAAACTAGGGAGAGTATTGAAAGCTTCCTTAGGTTTCATGAGAATGAATATGACTGATAATCTGAAATTGGGTGCTTGTCCAATGAGCTTCTTAAACAAAGGCCTCTTCAGAATTTTAGAGGATGAACAAGGATAAAACATGGAGTTTATAGTTTTTCCTCTCTTTTTTTTAATAATTGGGGGAAGGGGGATTTGAACCCTACTTTTTAGGTAGGGGAATTATGCACCAACCAATGAGTCAAATGCTCAGGTGCACATGGATTTTATAGTTACACACATATGCACTCACACACAACATTTATAAATAACTGAGAAATGAAGGAATTAAAACGAACCAAACCCTCACTATTGAACCTACATAGTAGTTTCTAAAAATTGACCAGAGCAATTAATGATAACAACGTATGAAAAATTAATGGTAAAATATAATGGGATCAGCATATAAGAAAGTTGAACTTATGCCTGTCTGGAACACTAAGCAACTTCAGATGTATAAACCTATTTGGCACTAATCTGGTAATATGGAAAAGTTCATCTCATGGAGTATGATTTTTATTATCATATAAATTTCACAAGTCAATTGTTGGGTGGAGAGATACAGCAAGAAATCCTAAATGCAAAGTTATAACATTTCTATATGCACTCTCAACGGTACTTGCAACATGGAGATATAATCATACACTCAACAAAATGCATACGCACATACACACAAAGGCAAGCAACATGCACACACTCCAGTCATATAACACTCAATAGATAGGAAAATACACATACTATAAAACGATGAACAAGCGTCCTATTCTCCTGCCCAATTCGATGTACCCTGCTGATTGCTTGTGCTTCTACTGCAGGATTGAGTAGTGGTTCCACAAGAATAACATGCTGTGCCTCCAAAAGATTTAGGCCATTTGCTCCATGTTGGATCAAAATCAATAAAACTTGAACAAATTTAGGTTCTGGCTTCTTCTTATTTATCTTCTGGATTCCTTGTCCACCAATTTTCTGTCCTCTAAATTCGCTGATGGCAACATGTGATTTCCTGTAATTGCAAATCTTAATAACTCAATCAATCTGATAACTGAGTTCTTTTTCCAGATAATGACAGTGCATTACAATATTTAACTAATAATCTAATTAGGCTACAGTTTGAAAGCAGAAACTAAAGGATCTAAACAGCCACTGCAGAAGGGCCAAGCTTTTCACCCCTTGTGCTAGGGTGGCATGCCTTTCATGGCATTTTCATAACTCTTCAGGTAATCAATCAGCAACGATATAGTAAAATAGCAACCTGATAAACAGATTCTCTTACCTTCCCCCTTTTGTTCGGATGTAGGTAATGTCATTAGCGGTGAATGCATGTTCTAACACATCAAGAACATCATTCCAACTAGAGAAAACCAGAACTTTAGCTTTTGGGTTGGCAGACTTAATCCACAATATCCTTCTTGTAACAGCTTCAAGCTGGACAATCATCAACGGCAAGTTTACCATAACAGTCATCTAGATGTCCTGATATAAATAGCTGGTAGATTTCTTTTTTTCCATGCAAGTTATTCTACCATGGAAAGAGGTTGTGCAATCTAAAAAAGAAAAAGAATACTAGGAAATGTACCTTCGTTCCATAGGAACCTTGAACGGTCAAAGATTCTTCACCGTTGTCACCACCTTGAATTGTGTGAAGGATGGCAGAGTTAGGTGATTTAATTTGTCTATCATCCGCTAAAGCAATATTTCCAACATCTGTGTGCTGTCTACATATTGGGCACATTACCCACTTATTTTGAGACTTATTCCAATAACGTGATCTTTGCTCAGTCATGACAAATAAACCTGTAAGAGTGAAGTGTGAAGTGTAAACGGATAAAATGAAAAGTTCAAAGCAAATAAAATAGTCAATATAATAAATCAATAGGATATAATAATGGAAACATGACAGGTCACCCTAAAATGGTCACAAACTGCAAATAAAATTAAAAAAAATAAACGAACGGATATTGACAATTGATGAGACACCATTTGTCAACTCAAGTGAATTCAAAGACAAGGCGTGGATATAGACAAGTATGCCAAATGACATTATGTACCAAATAAGGCTTTTGGAAGATCTTTTACAAGACTATGGACATGAATATTATATCTTAAAAGAACCATATTATTTTTGGCAAGATTTTACCAAGCTATTCAGTCACCTGAGAATGCAGTTCACCACATAAGATGAGGAAAGAAGGGTTACTAGTTCAACAGTTCACCATGTACTAATGGCAGAAAATTACTAACAGCAACTGACCCTGGTGCAGAAGTTTCCTTGACTAGCATGTATCAGTTGTATGTAGTTTATGAAACATTGTTACATTAATTTTCAATGCTAATATCCTTAACACCAACATTTTTTTTAGTGCAGATGGCTTTTATGGCAGGTCAGAAATTAGGACATGGAGGTAGGGATGATCCAAAACTTACATTTACAGCAAGTGATGTGTCCACATTGAAATACCATCTTTTGATTGCTTAGCCTTTCTTGACAAACAGGGCAAGCTTCCCCATCAGCTTTAGGTAGACATGTACTTTTCTGTTCTATGGAAGTTGACATGGTAGTCATATCTTGAGTTAAAGCTGAATTATCAGAACTTTCCATTGGCAACTTATTTTTGGATAGAACCAACCCCTGAAAATAATTCATGTAAAGTAAGTATAATAGCAGCAAATGAGTTATGTTATTTATATAGGAAGACGACATAAGGAAAAAGTTGAATGAAAACAAATATTAAGAAATGCGATTTCCTTCAGCCCAAAGCATATGAAGAGCCATGACAAAAAGAAAACTAATGAAGCAACGATTTCATCCTGCCAGAGCTAAAACATGTCAACCATAAGATTGCAAAGGAACAAACTGTGGTGTACAGAGGGGAGTGGGCAAAGTAAAACTTGACCGTAAAGAATTTCCAGCAGACATTTTTGTGGTACCTTCAAGTAACGAAGTTTCCCTTGATATTTGATAACAAAGTCAAGGACATGAACTTGTCACTTGTGTTTTGCACACTAGCTGAAGCCAATTCATTTGGACTTAAGGCATCAATAGATTTATCATTTTCAGCCTCTCTTATGTGCAATCGAGTGGTTGCCATCTTGATTTCGTCATGTGCATTCAGAACTTGTGCTTGAGCAATTGCTAAGAGCCTTGCATGCCGATATTCCTTCCTCATGCCCTTAACAAGGTTATGAGAAGGTAGGAGGGGACAAAACAAGGAAAACAGGAAAATCAGTTCCATAAAAGACGTGATATTTACATGAGACAAAAACACCTGAGAGCTCCTCACAACTAAGCATATAAACAGCATGCTAATACAATGAGGAAACAACTGAGTATGATTACGTCCCCCACCAACACCAACACACACCCCACACCCCCCCCCCCCCCCCACCAACCCAATTAGTGGCAGTTTAGCAGCTAATACCAACAAAAATAATTGAATGGACCAGACCATACCTCCAGAATATGTAGCTGTTTTGTAGCTGCCAACATACCCTCCTTTCCTAACTGCCCCTTGCAACAGCTCTTTATAACTCCAAGAGCTACTTCCAATTGAGAAGGAGACTTTGAGACCTATAAATGATAAGCCAAAGAGAACAAAGTGTAAAAGCTAGTTGTTACTTAAGAATATTGTCTTTGGCAGTATTGAAGTTCATGAAAGTAAATTTGAAATTCAAATTGACAATGGAACGGATTTTATGCAGTTTTCAAGATATGCTATGCAACATGATTAATACTAGTTGATAGACCATAGCTAAAAATACAACCATAATTTTAGAGATGGTGTCCTGGGGTTGACAAGTATACAGCCAGGTGCTGTTTGATATCAAACTCCTGTATGTGAAAAGCAGTTCTTTTGTAAATCCTAGGAAAATCGGCCTAGGCACAAGTGATTATCGACAAGTCAAGATTGAATATCAACAAGAAGCAGACCAAAACTAAATAAATTAGAAAGAAATTAAAAAGGAGAGAATGAAAATAGAAAAACAACATATAAAATCAGAACGGTGATGACAAAATATGTGATAGAGAGGCAGCTGTCACAATCTTAAGCCCAAGGTAAGCATTAAGATATAAAGTGGGCCAGTGCTAGAGCTCAACACTGTAAGGTATAGCAATATCAAGTATGTAGATTCTCAAGTTCATCAACTTGCCAACCATGATTAGAGAAACCTAATACACCTAAAGAATAAAATTCAGATGAGATAAAGTAACGAACCACTATTGTTTCTTGAACATCTCTCTTCAGTTCTTTATTATCAACATCAGATAAAGTTGAATTTTTATTTGGCTGTGATAAATTCCAATAAAAGCGATTTAGTGCAGACTTCTTCTTCTGCAAATCTACTGCCTCTTCAGCAGATATAATTATATCTCCATCCTTTTTGTTGACACGAAAGAGCCTTGCCTCATAATCCTGGTGCAAGAAGTTAAAAATATAAAGAATATGAAACAGTTTATAGTTGCAAGGTCAAACATCAACAAGAACAAACAAGTTTTGAAGCAAACCTGGAATAAATCCTCTAGTTCACAATGTACACAAATGGGACCATCACCAAGGACCTGGCAATTACGGCAGTATCTCACCCGTTCAATATCTTCCTCTTTTGGTCTTTCCATTGTTTTATCAATTTCTAAAAGTCGATCAAGCAATTTTCCCCTAACGGATTCCAATAGATCTAAACCAGTCTGGATGTGATACTTTAGAGCAGTAATACTCTGAAACCTGTAATAAGCCAAATAAAAGCTGGTCACTATCAGGAAAATAGCATTTAATTAAATTATAACTATTACAATATATTCCATCAGAAACTTTAAAAAACGTACAATATACTAATTACAATGTAAAAAGCAACAAAATTTTAATAGCCTGCTTACAGAAGAACCCCATTTTGCAACTGCAAACCTGTTTCTGATTAAAAAAGATATATGAAACGTGTTCTGTTGAACAGTATAAATCAGCAGATTCTTGAAATGAAAAACATGCATTAATAAGGCAGGTTTAAGTTACAATTGAATGAGCAGAAAGAATAAGTTATGAAATATAAGATTCGCAGCACTGCTCAGGAAAGGCAATTCTGAAAACTAAGATCATCACTAACCAGGAAGACATCCGCAATGAGCGTCGATTTTTAAGAGATCCTGCGATAGCCTCTTCAATCTTTCTGATTAACTCGTTAGAGAAGTCCTTGTTTTGCTCAGCATGATGAAGAGCTTCCAACCACCAAACTGTATCTTCATTTTTTATATCACTAAATGCATTACAAACCTGCAAAAACATAATTGTTAATCATCCAAAGTGCAGTAGATGACAAACCATTGCAAAGCAAACAGCAAGATATAGAAATCTACAACTAAGAAGGCTATTATTGCAACTGACAATTACCACCTTTGGCTTGACATGTTCTATAGAACATTCCATAATTTTAATTTGATTCAAGACGTGGCTTTATTTGACATTGTAAAGGATGTAAAATCAATTTTTGAACAAGAAAGGTATGACCTATTCTTCTGGCAGCAGATTTTTGTTGCCATCAGGAATCTATCATTCCAACCTGACTAGAACCTTGCGACATGATTAAAGAGAAAACACCCTCAGAGGGCCATATACCAGCATGAGAGGAATCCATCCTTTTCCAGAAAAAAAAAAGAAAAAACCGTGTTTGTGGGAGAGTGCAGCAATAAGGAAAAACAAAGAACTGCCTGTTGTATCCTCTTGATATTACTGCAAGCAACAATCATGCCTATTTTTTGAGTTGAGTGAACTATAATGGTCCTGTTTATGCAAAGCGAGCTTTCAAGAGGTTGGAAAAGTAGTTTTGATTTTTCGAGGTTATATGTGGTAGGAAACAACTACATTTTGGCTTCCCTATGTGCTGATTACATAGCCACAAATATTCTACTGAATGGGCATGCAGATGAGAGAGAGCAAGTACTATAAACACAAAGTACATTGTAGAATATAGCATGACATGTAAGTAACAATCGGCAAGTAGCATCAAATGACAACACCTACATCTCAACTAGTATGGCTGTGCAGATGATACATATTGTCCAACGTTTATCATGCATCACATACCAAAATGTTATGGAAAAACATTGATTTTACCTGCATGTACGATTTCCTGAACTCTTGCTGAGCTGCAGATAACTTTGTAGTGAACGCTGACAGGTACCTCTGTTTTAAATTCTCACAGTCTATTCTCAAAGATTGTTTGCTTAAAGTTCCGGATGACATGTGGCACTGACCATTAGAATCTTGGTCATTATTTATGCCATTTTCTGCTAGGTCAGATGCTATTTCTGGTAGATTCCCAGCATTGATTTCTGAATTCTCTTGGTCATCAAGTTTCTGCCTCTTCACAGAACTTTGATCACACAATTCATTACTGTGGGCTTTGCAGGCTTTCTCAGAGCTACCAGAGAACTGTTGCATCTCTACTGGAAGTTTCTCTGAGCTTGTAACCATTTGGAGTATCTCAGCAAGATTGTGATGAATGTGAATATTCAACAGAGGGTCCAGGCGAAAATCCTCAGAGTGCTCTTTAGTGATATCCAGTGCTTCCTTGTACAATGATACTGCTTGAGAAAGTTTCTCCTCTATTATAGCTATTCCTGCAAGCCCATTTAAAGCACTAACTAACACCCTGAGCGCTTCCTCTCCTTCTGTCTTGGTCTTGCTTATAAGAACCTACAAAAACAATATCACTCTTAATGTAAAGAACCAATAATAAAAGCTTTTGCAGCAAATTTCACCAAATGTTTAACCCACATTTAATATTTCCTCCATAGTCATTGGGGCCTGTTGCAGAGAACGCAGCCCGAAGCTTCCTACTTGAGGGTGACAACAGGCTTGGCGAAGCTTCAAGAGTGAGTTCAGCAGCTTTGCAGCTTCTGTATGAGTGATGAAAGGATCGAAAGTCACACCAGAAGAAATACTACCTAGAAAAGTAAATATGAATATATAAGACCTAAATTCATTTTCTGACTTTAAGTTGGTACATTACTTATAAATGTCTCGTAAATAAAGTCATTGTACAACTACCAACAACCTGGGACTTCTCTTTTCAGGAAATCTTCTTTCAAACTTTCAAGGACTTCACTGGCATAACTCACACATGTTTCATGTTGCCTTTGATAAAAGTGTTCTTCAATTGGCGAGAAAGTGAGCCAAGAGACACATTCCTCTTGAGGGGGAAGCTGCAATTCATCTGCAACATGTACTTTTGAAGAACGCCACATGATTCGTTTAAACAATTTATGTGTGAATTCCATTGCTCCTCCATCTCTCCTCTGCAAAAGGAGCAGAATAAATATAAAAATAAAAATTTGGAAACTGTAAGATACTATTTAAAACCACTCCAGGATTTAAAGAAGAGCCAGAGGAACAATCGGTGAAAAGATGCTAGTCAATATTCACAAAGAACAGTGCATTGTGGACGAAACAGTAAGATCATAGTTTGCTAGCAGTATCTGATAAAGTGTTCAATTAAAATCTCTAAAAGACATGTCAGTCACAAGCTAGCAGCATACGCAATTTAGACATACGAGCAATATCATCCACAAAGGACCATCCATGGAACATTATTGGGAAATTTTACACAGCTATTGCAATCCAAATCATCCAAAAAGGACCATCCATGGAACATTGCATGGGATATTTAAGACAGCTATTGTAATCTAACTTACCCAGGGTATAATGTTCTTATAAAGAATTTATATCAAGAGTGAATGCTCATAGAAGACAAAGAAGCTTATAGGTTTTTTTTTTGTGTTTCTGAAAGGTAGAAGCTTATAGATTAAAGAGAGCTGGTTAGCTCTCTCACTTCTTGTTACATAAAAGCATCCCTTTTATAGGACTCCGAACTTGTACAACATTCAAGCCACAATATCTATAAAGTATGATTTCATTCTTATTCTTCTTTATGCTAGGGGAAGAATTTACTTCGGATGGCACGACCTACTTCACTGCAGTATGTCACATACCTTTCACATGCCTGTTCTTTCAGAGCAAACTCCTGATGTCCCAGTTTATTGCAAGATATTAATTCATTTGCATACTTCTCATTGTTAAATTAGTAGGTACATAATCAGAACTACTACATCCAAACGCTTTTGTTAGTATTTATTATGCAATTTATGCCACCAAGAAATTTTAAATTTTTTGACAGCTTGTGATGTCAAAGTTATAATATTGTATAACACGACAAATGCATTTATTTGTAAGAAAGATTGGCACCTATTTAAGTTTACATTGGAGACCATCATGCACATATGTGAATGTTGAATACATACAAAGTTAAGATAACTTCATACCTCATATGGATCTCGTATAACTTCCACCCACCATCTTGAAACATTGAAAGGACTTAGTTTCAGGAATCTTAAAAGTCCATATAAATCGTCAAGTTTGCGTTGTATAGGAGTGCCTGTAATGCACCAGCGATGCTTAGCATATAGCCTCATGGCCATTTCTGTTGCAGCAGCAGTATTACTCTCCACCATTTGAGCTTCATCCAGACAAATCCTCCACCAAAATATTCTAGTTAGAAGAGTTGGAATGACAGGGTACCTACCAAAAGGACAGCCAGTTATCATCTTGAAACATTAAATTTGAAGGCAGCCAGGTTTGGAGCTAGAATATTTAGTCAACAGGGGCACATTCTCATTAGTTGAAAATTTCATTTAATCTTATCTAATTATTTCTATTTTCTTTTTGGAGCATATAAGCTGCTCTAGCAAGTTCTTTTCATAAAATTACTGTAAGAATGCACTAAATGTATTTATAGTGATTACATATATATATTGAAAGAAACTACAGGTATTGGAGGGAAAAAAAATTGAAGGTAAGCAATTAAGCACTGAAGAAATCAGAAAGATTGTTGACAAAAAGGTCAAAATAAAACTTTGGAAGAGCCTGGATATGTCCATGAAGGCAGCTCCAAGCATTCGATGAACCCAGTCAATCTCAGAAGCAATGTATTTTAGTAACAACTTGAGGACACTTTGGAATAAAAAGCCAATAAGATATCAAATGCTCATTTTGAACAAAAAACAATAAATCAGAAGTTAAGAAGGAACCTCTTCTGGAATCTCAAGAAGCGTCGATCACCTTCATGCCTGTCAGAGTCGTGAGAGAGGTCCTCTTTGAGTACATCATATGTTGTTAATACAATGTCAGCACTGACAAGTTCATTGATATCCACTCTAGATGTATTTGAAAGAGAAGGGTTTCTCACACCTTCATAGATACAAGTTTTTAAGGAACCTGGACGTGAATGACTAAGGATAACAATAAAGTAAAAGAAACATATATAAGTACCTTTCTTTAATGAAATCAAAATTAAAAGGTATAAAGTAATGCAATTCAACAATCCTGTGAACATGAAAATATTATCTCAAGTAAATGGATTCACATATAAGATCTATCAAAATATTTCAAATTTTCATCAGAAAGAAATGAAAGTGATTAAGATGTCATGCATGAAACTGGTTTTGATCTATGATTTGTAGATTCATTTTCAATATAATGGTGTCAATTTCAACTCCAATGACTCATAATTTTCTGAATGCATTAACAATGGAAGGTTACATTGACAGATCAATGTTTCATAAATTGCCTACACATGGATCATCCTCATTTTTCCAGATCTGTTTGGTACTTTCGTCATATTGGGCACCTGCCTTTTAGGAAATCATCAAGTTTAAGGGACTTCAGGGCAGACCAGAAAGAAGGCCTCCCTTAGTACCACAAGCTTGTAAACTTGTCGTCTTACAATTGATGCTGAGAGATTAGAGTTCAGAAGAGGTGAGGCTACTAATTCTTCTAATCAGGGCCATATAGAGAAAAGGTTGCATCAGGATCACAACAAAGTGTTAGTCGATTTGAGCTCTATCTTACCATTAGAAGATGTCATATGCCCATAACTTCCAACATCCCAGTTGCTCATGGAAAACTATGTTTGATTGAATCAGCAGATCATTCATATATCTTAATCCTTTTTCTTTCCTTTACAATCAGAATGAATTAGGTGAAACTGGGCAAAATGATAAGCAAATTTCTTCATTCTCCAAAACCATAAGTTTACTCACAAAGACAATGCAAACTTTAATATTATTATAGTCCTAAGGATACTGAAATTTGGAAGTGTACAAAATGAAGTCCAGGAAAAAAAATTTTACCGTATAATCTCATCGTGCCATTGGGATAATATAGGAGCTGGACAGACTATAAGAGTAGCACCTGATGCAATGGGAGAGTCAGTAGCTTGTAGTAGCTGTGAACATGGCTGGCAGATATGTTCTCCCTCTCTGACAACAATATTGGTTATCTCTTTCCTTCTTTTCGGCTTTTGCAGTTCTTGTTCATCAGCACTTGCACTGGCTTTACGAGCTTTTCCTCTAGGTGAATAACCGACACACTCTGAATGTTGCCAAGCATCACAGATGTCACACTGTACCCATAATCCTTTATATTTGTGGTTTTCACTTACAGCTCCACATATGCACTCAACACGTTCCCTTTTCAACCTTCTGATACTAATTTTCTCATCCATAGTAACCTCTGCTTCAGTATCCTTACATACGCCACCTTCAGATGCTGGCTTCTGGTGTGCGAAGATGCAAGCAAGCAGTTCAACAGTCTTCCCCAAACCCATTTCATCTGTGATATTCAAAATGACCACCACCAAAGCAAGCAGAGTGAAATCAGATTTGTGGATAAATATCTGCTTTAAACGATATATATAAAAAGAAAATCAGCACAACTCTTCAGGAATTAAAAATCCAAAAAGAGCCCAAAAATTTTTGGAGCATGCACCAGACAGTAGCATACAAAGAATTGGAAAAATTTGTAGTGTCAATATCTATGCAGGCTAATAACCAAGCAAGACTGGATTCCCATGTTACTTTTGAGCACCACAATCTCACAAATCTAGGCATTCACAAGCCAAACTTAAATGAACTGACCAAAGAGATGCCGTAGTAGTGAAAGAAGCAGAAATGATGTATATATTGCATAGCACGGTAACTACTGTGGCAAAATTGCTGTCTCTGAACTACCAATCACAGTGGAGAAATCAATTTTATAATGAGAACTTTCAATTCTCCTAGAAGTTGATAGGCCTTATGCATGCAAAAGTTTTCATTCCCTATCACTATTAAAACTTCAGCTCTGTAAGAATATAAATTTGTTGCAAGGATTACAAGAGTTTCCAGAAAACTGACACATACTAAACAAACTTACCTACCCGCTAGAATACCACCATAGACATATGGAGAAGTGGACTCCAAATGCAGCGAAACATTTCCACTGAAGACATAATCTCACATAGTAAGCAAGTGAAGATATAAAAAATGTATTTTTTTTTATTTTTTAGGGGGTGGTACTGGGGATGGGAAAAACTACAAGCCGACATCCTTTTCAAGTACAATGCTAGTTGAAGAAAGAAAACCATACCCAAATGGATTAAAGTACATTTTTGAATAATCATCCAGAAAATCCACTGGTATACACAATGGAGAAGACAACATGCTCCTTTCCCATTCATCCAGACTTCTTGAATCTCCCTTCTCTCTTTGTACCATCCAGTAAGCCGCACGGCGCTGATATGGTCTTAGAACAGGGAGCAAGTCAGGAATTTCATCCTCAAGCATTGAGTTCTCTCTGCACAGGACACATACAAGTAATTTCATTTCAGTATTGAACCACAATAGGAAGCTGGAAAGGAACTACTACAGTTATGCACCACTAAATAAATCTACAATAAAATAATTGGTCAACTCACTTTGATGGCTTTATGGCTTCATAAAGTCCAGAAACATCAAACCTCGCACGTTTCCCAGGTCGGGAAGTTTCTTCTTCTTTCACTGGATACACATCAACTTCCATGTTCATTGATTCACTAATTCCATACTTAGCCTCAGAAGTCATTACTTCAGGACGTAACCAAGCCATGACATTCATCATACTCTTTTTCCAAAGTTGCCTCGTGTTCTCCATGAGCGACTCACAATTGTCAAAAACTCTCTTTAGTATCTCCACCCTCACTCTGAGAGATGACAAGCTCTCTGAAAGAATTACTCCCATCACTGGCCTCAAAGTCACAAATTTCAAACTTGCTAAGTGCACAAGAGAAGAAATACCTTCATCAAGACCATCAAAACTCCCAGATAACATCACTGATTCCATCTCCGCACCATCACTCATGTTTTTCTCTACAAATTCCAAAGATACATCACTGGAAGATAACACAGGCCAATGTCCTAGTTTAATACGACTGATAAACTCAGACACATTACAAACTCGAAACCTTAAGGAGTACTTGGAGTCCCAATAAAAGTCCTCACTGATTCTATAACCAGCAAACCCTTCTCTCAAATTCAAATCAATCAGAACAACCTCAGATATATCAAGATGCTCATCCGAATGCCAAGAAGTCTTATCAATTTCTACAAAGAATGGTTTTTCTGTATCCACGAGTTCCTCCTTTCCTTTTTGCCCGTTTTGGTTTGCTTCCTGTTTGTACAAATCTGGTTCGGCATTACCATTGTTCTCTATAACTAAGGCGCCCGATCGACGTGGATTGGATTGCTTTTTCCTACCCATTGTTCTCACTACAAACCAAATAGAAACTAGATAAACGTACAGAAAAAATGCAAACAAAGCCAGAAGCTTAAGAGTGTATCAATAGCCAATTCAAGCAGCTGCTAAAGTTCTTTTGAAGCAAAGATGCATACCCAGATCATTAGAACATGCCAAAAGCAATAAACAAAAGTTGAAAGCAAAGAAACTCAATCAAATAAGCAGAAATATAAACGGGAAATGGAGCAAATTGGATGGAAACAATGCAAAAAAGCTAGAGAAAAGAATATAAAACCTGAGAAAGAGAAACAAAAGCAATACCTGGAACAGGTTAAGGTAGAATTTGGTTGCATTAAAAAAAGGTGTTATAAGGAGAAAGTTTCGGATTTGAATTGTGAGGTTTGAGGGAAGAACATAGGCAGACGAGTCACGACCGCTGGGAGACTGCAGCCACGCGCCAAGTGCGAGTCGCCAAAGTCCGTAACTCGAAGATGGATTTGTTTTGTTTTATGGGACTTCTAATTCCCAAGCAAGGCGTGGCCAAACTCATACTCTCTTATTCGAATGAAACACAACACGGCCAAAAGAAGGCTTTTTTTTCTTATTGGTCTGTCATTTATTTCAGTGACAGCTTCCACAATGGAATTACCAAAAGACCCAGACGGTTGTCCTTTGGCCTCTGGGTTAATGCACTTTCCTCTACTTGCTCCCTCTCAAGTTTTAACTACAATCAGAGAAAACCCTAAAGAAATTTTCTCAAAGAAAAAAGACTGGGGGTTTGGGTTTCAGCTACACAAAGGAGAAGCAATGAAAAGGGGAAGGAAGAATCTAAAGAGGGCAGCAAAAGACCAAAACTTGAGTCTTCAACATGGCCAAAGCATTATGCAAGTGCTGTCTCTAAGGGGATCCAATCTCATTGAGGTACCCATTGCTTTTCACTTCACAAATTTACTGCCTTTAAGCTTCAGAATTTTCTCATACTGCAAATAGATTATCAGCTAAAGTCTGGTTAGTAAGCTATCAAAATGCATAGCTTGAGTCTGGGTTTTCAACCAAAGCCACGCTTATTTTATTAGATGAAAGTATGAGGCATTGTGATTATCTGAATTTTATGCAAGGAGAAGTTTACTCATTAAAAAATTAGATTTTTTTTGTAATATCTTGTTTTAGGACTATATTCTATGAGTAGCACAATGTATCATAACGACTCTGTCATAACTTCCTCTTAATGTCACAGGTGCCATTCATTAAGGTTTTTTCTTTTCACAAAATTGTTACAATTCTGTCATGGTTGTTTTCTTATTAAGGTAGTGGATGCTCGAGGAGAGAAATCACTAGCACTATTTCCAGCTAAATTTCAGAAGAGCATGTGGATAAAACGAGGTTTGTTCCAAATAAATACCACTTGAGCTTTTTTTAATGACATTTATCAAGGTTTGCTTCATTTGAATATACAAAAATATCAACAAGAATCTACAGTCATTTTGGAATCTCAGTCATCATCTGCTATTACTTGATTTGTAATTATGTGTTACTCTTACTCTTTTTGTCCTTTCTTGATGCCATATTTTTCTCTGTGCTTCATGAGTTCCTCAGCTAAACTGTTCAGTTGATCGGTTGCCTCTTAGATCCAACAGTTACATTGTGTACTTCATATTTCCTCTATTTTTTTTTTCTTTTTTCTCTTTAGGTAGTTGCCTAAACCTGGGAGTAAAACTCATTGGCTGTAGGCACTGTTGGAAAGTGATTACTTTTAGCTTAATGACTCTGTCAATTGTTTTCTGTTCTTCTTATTTTAACATGTGTTCAATATTTTTTGATTACTTCTTCAATTTTTAGGGAGTTTTGTTGTAGTTGATGAAAGTGGAAAAGAAAAGGCGCTTGAGTCTGGTAGCAAGGTGGCATGTATTGTTTCTCAAGTTCTGTTCTATGAGCAAGTTCGTGCACTACAGAAATCTTCAGAATGGTGTGTTTTCTTAACAACTTAGAGTTAGCTTGTTAGAATACTTTTCCATTATCTATTGTTTTGCATCTTTGCTTATTCTACTCTTAGTTCTTGGGTTCTAGATGTTTAAACCAGACAATCTGAAGGTTTGATTGATGGGTGCTGCATTTGCTTGAGCTGGCAAATTTGAGGTGTTCATTATTTCATTTATGTTTGCGATTGCCTAGGGTCTCTTTCCTGATTCTTTTTCTTGTTATATCAATCTCTGCAATATGCCATTTATCTTCATTGACCAACCAACCGTGCATGCTGGTTAAAGGTGTCAATGTTTAATGTCCTGCATTCTGATTTTATTGATAGCGTTCTTATCTCAATCAATTCCAACTGAATCCTTCTTTACCTGCTCAACTCAGCATACTCAATCCCCATCCAGTTTTTCTACATATGACTTCAACTTAAAGAGCTTTTTAGTTACAACTTGCACACTTGCCATCCTATTAAAGTGTTGTGACCTCCAGATGCTTCTGCATACAGTTTCCTATTATGAATCTCCCATCAAAAGAATTAGGAGCATGCAATTTGAAGTTGTTAGAAGGACTTATATATTAATACAGATATGCTTGCTTTTGCCACTCAGCTGTCCTCCGGTCTCAAATTTCTAATCTTGAGATTGAGTTTTTATTATTTTTCTGATATTCTTGCCTGCAATTCCTGCAGGCCTGAAAATTTCAAATCCTCAAATCTGGATGATTTAGTTGAAAATGATGGTGGTGCCACCTCAGAATGTTTGCAGAGACATCCCTCCGAGAAAGAAGTGAAGGATGAGTTAGAGTCAAGTGATGATGATGGACTTCCCCCACTAGAAGCTAATCTGAACAGAATCAAGCCATTTGAGCTGCAATCAGACAGAGAATCAGACTCAGGATCGGATTCAGATTGATTAATGATTATAACATACTAATATAAACCAATCTTCCAATTTTTACTGTTGATTTCTCATGTCAAAAAATGACATGAAGTGCGGCATTTCCAGTACCCAAACGTCCTTACACAATTAAATTTGTGTAAGCTTCTTGTATTGTAATCTTTGATAGTTTCCAACGTAGGAAAAATCTTGTGTTGAGAAAAGAAAACAACCCGCAACAAGGGTTCATTCAATTTTGTTAAAGTTTAAACTCGGGTGTTCCTCAGTTTGCATGTCTTCATGTTTCACAACTTATGTAAGAAAGGGGGTTGTTGGCCATTCTTTTGTTTTCAATGCCTCTGGGTTTTTGTTGTTATACCTTCAATTTACAGCAGGTGTTCATGTGTCTTTTCGACAAATAAATCTCAATTATCTAAGAAAAATTACATACTCCTACTATAAAGGAAACGGGAGGAGAGGGGGTGGCAATGGATGCTGCTTCCGGTGGCAACGCTTGCGTTTAACTTTAAAACGCAGGCTATAAGGAATGAGAAAGGCAGACAAGGAATTGGGTGCTAGCAAAAAATGCATGGAAGTTGGTGGGGAACAGAAAGAGCTAGCCTTTCCAGGAACTGCCACGCCACGTGGCATCAGCTCTGTCATGCTTTTAAAACCAAAAGCAAAGCCGTCTGTTGTGTTGTAAGAACCCAAAGACAAAGACTTGCAGTTGTAGATATTATTTTAATCTGGAAAGCTCTCCCCGTTTTTCTCTAAAAATCCTTTTTTAGTTTTAAGGTAGTAAAGGAAACAACGAAAGACCAACTAAAATGGCGGTTGCAACATTTAGAAGCGGGCGATTGCCGCTGTTTCATCACCCTCAGTTGCCTAACAAAGCAGCAGCAGCAGGTTGTACAAGAAGGTCGGGTGTTGGATTAAAGAAGCTAAACGGGCGTTCCAACTCCAGGGCCTTGTTGCTTTTTGCCCAATACTCTCAACCTTCTCAAACGCAGGAACGGGATCGATTCTCTTCTCGCCTCCAAAGTACGTTGCCCACCACTTTCTTTGCCCTTCCTTTCTGCAACATAATTCGAGTATCCATCTTTTTATACTATTGTTAGATTAGTAACCTTCTTCTTCCTCCTGTCTCACCTTTCAAGTGCAAATATTTCGGCTTTGATTATGGATTCACTGCTACTGCTACTGCTCTGGAATTGGAAAATTTGATTACCATCAATCTTGTCCATGATAGTTTTGTGTTCATATCATTATCAGGTAGTATTGAGAACTTACCCCAATTGGTGGAGGACATTGTCCGGACATCTATAAGCACAGGTCCACGAGGAGCCCTAAGGCTAGCTCAAGGTATTCAAGCATTTGTCGGTGTTGGTGGGGAATGGCTTGCTGATGTCTCTAGGGTATTTTGCCTCTTCTTTTAAAGATACTTTACTTACATGGGCCTTTCTTTTCCTTTTTAAAGAACCTCATGTTCTTGGGTTTTCCTTACCATTTGCAATTATGATTCCCCTAAATTATTTGCAGTCCACAAATACATCTACTGGAATACCATCTGAATTGCAGCTTGGGTTGCTTTCACCACTTTACTTAAGGAAATTGTTTGAACGTATGGGTGCAACCTATATCAAATTAGGTCAGGTAAGTCGTAGGCTTTGATTATTTTACTTTCCGAGATTCTTACTGATCATAAACTGCTGATAGAACTCAAATGACATTATTGTTCATTGATACCCAATTAAAGTTGCTCAACTTCTTAGATATGTTGTGGGAGATGGCATCATAATTTTGGTGATTCAGTGTAAAAAGAATTTCCAACTTAAATCTTCTTTGAATAAAATTGATTCTACTGCAATTGTCATATCTTTCAGATAATCTTCTTGTGTAAAATGTTACATCATTGCTCATCTTAGATTATTTTGCCAGTTCATAGCATCTGCTCCTACATTATTCCCACCAGAGTACGTTGAAGAATTTCAGAAATGCTTTGATAGAGCTCCTGCGGTTCCATATGAAGACATCCAAGCGATCATACGTCAAGAACTAGGGAGACCAATTGATAGCGTATATGAATATATTGATCCAACACCAATTGCCTCAGCCTCTATAGCACAGGTCTTAAATCTCTCTCTCTTTTTCATTAAGGCTCCCTTCCCCTTTCTTTATATGTCCCCAAAATTACTTTTGTTATTTATTGTAAGTGTGTGTAATTATTGATTAGAACTGTACATTATCATGCGTAGGTACATGGTGCAAGGCTTAGAGGCTCCCAAGATGATGTAGTTATAAAGGTGTTGAAACCTGGAATTGAGGACATTTTGGTGGCAGACCTGAACTTCATTTATGTAGTGGCTCGAATATTGGAGTTCTTAAATCCTGAGTTCAGCCGTGCTTCACTGGTAAAAATGGAATTACAAACTTTCATATAAACTAGTCATATTTATTTGATTATTATGGCTGTTATCTTATCTTTTTTATTATTTATTTATTTTTTAAAAAATATTTAAGTTGGAGGTAGGGGATTAGAAAACTGGAACTCTTTTTTGGAGGTAGACCTTACCTACATGACTAGGCATTTGATTCTTTTTTTTTTTTTTTGGCTCATTGCCAAGGTATCGATTTGCTTGTTAATTTTCGATTTGCTTCTTAGCATTCTTTTGACTTAATAGCATGTTTGTTACTAATCACTGAAACAACAGCAGCTTAGGATATTTTGGCATCTTATTGAGTCCTCTTCTAATTAATCACTTTTCTTGTAAAGTTCTGATTTTGAAATGTTTTTATTATAAGATATTTCTCCTTTCAGTAGGTTGGTATTGTTAAGGACATACGGGAGTCTATGCTTGAAGAAGTTGACTTCAATAAGGAGGCTGCAAATATTGAATCCTTCAGGAGATATCTTGAAGCCATGGGATTAACAAGGCAGGCAACAGCTCCGAGAGTGTACAACCATTGCAGCACACGACGAGTTTTAACCATGGAGAGGCTATATGGGGTTCCTCTTACTGATTTAGACACTATAAGTTCACTTGTCTCTAGCCCAGAGAATAGTCTTATTACTGCACTTAATGTCTGGTAAGACATCAATGATCCACATACTATGAAACTTGTCCATATATGAGGCACAGGATTCCAGTTGAAGCACTTATGCTGTTGACATGAATAATATATGCAGGTTTGGTAGTTTACTTGCTTGTGAGTCCTTCCATGCTGATGTGCATGCAGGCAATTTGTGGTTATTGCGTGATGGTCGTATTGGATTTCTTGATTTTGGTAAGTTGGTTTTCTTTTGCATCAAGTTTATCCAACTTTAATCTGATCTACGCATGAAAGCAATATTGTGTTTCTCAATACATTATTTAAATGTACAGGTATTGTTGGACGCATATCACCAAAAACATGGGCTGCCATGGAAGTGTTTTTGGCATCTATTGCAACTGAAGAGTATGAGTCAATGGCAGCTGCCTTGATTGAAATGGGAGCAACCAATAAGGATGTTGATGCTAAGGCCTTTGCAAGAGACTTGGAAAAGATATTTTCATCTATACAGGCAAGCATATGGAACCCAATATGCTTACAAAATAAAAAAGTGAACAAAATAAAATAATATCCTAAGAAGTGCATGTGCATGCATGCACACACCCACACAAACACTCATGAGAACCCATTTAAACAGCTGAAGTATTTTGCTGTTAACCTATTGTTTCTTTCCCTTGAACTGACAAGACTACTTTGTTGTTAAATACCCATGGATAATTGAGCCATTGGTACCTAAGCGATTGGTGCACCATCAAAGACTTAAGGCATTCCTATTTCCTTGAACATAGTAACCATCAATTTTATAGGTATCACGTCTGTTGACTGTAAACATAGTCAAGTTCAGGGGATTATGAAGGATCTCTGCTCAATGGTGGGAACCCAAAAAACCCTTATTTTGTTAGGAATCAATAGATTATTTTTATTGAAAGATTCATAGCTGATAGATGTGTACTAGCGAAGCTCCCTTTACTAGTTATCTCTTATTGTGAATTTCCTGGTCAAATTTTCCCTTTTTCAAATTCTAAATTGGTGCTTCATTTTTATTCATGCAGGAACTTGATACGGAGATTGTTGTTGCTACTGCCAGGGGGACAAATACAAATGCAACTGCTGTCTCTGCAAATGTAATTGTTGATGAGAGGCAGATGAATGCACTCTTTCTTGATGTGGTAAGCTGTTTTCTTAGATTGAGTCTTAATTTCCTTTTGCAGAGATCTAGTACTGCTGTAGTTTGTTAGGTATATTTACCTGGTGGTGGCATGTTCCTGAAATGTATAAACATTGGCATATTATTAGTTGACTCATATTAATCCCTTTGGTTACTGCCTGCTGGCCTACTGATCTATCGATGGAAGCCCCTTACTGTCCTTATCATTCAGTAAAAAGGAAAACTTGTAGCTCACTTTTTTGAGTTTTCTGAATATTTGAATCAGGTAACAATCACTCCGGCCCTGACCACATAGAGAAGCAAATTATTCTGCTGTGAATTGTAATAGGACTGAAAGTAAAAGTGAATTGTTGAAGTTCTTTAAGAGTAATGGCAACCTTCATGGAACTGCTTAATGGTGATAATAATCTCTAGCCATTTCTATCTTTTTGTCTCTTTGCAGGTTCGGGTGAGTGAATCATATGGACTGCGATTTCCAAGGGAATTTGCACTTCTAATGAAACAGCTCCTATATTTTGACCGGTATACGCGGTTGCTGGCCCCCAACTTGAACATGCTTCAGGACCAAAGGATATCCATCGTGTCGAATAGAAGAAGCAACTATAGGGACAACTTCAAATAGATTATACAATTGTAGATGTATTGATGTCAGTTTATCTTATATTTCTCTTCTTTTGTTTTCACCTTCCCCCACATTTATCGTACAGCTTTATGTATATGCAAGGAAAAAGAAACAGGGGTACTGAATAGTTGGGTTTACTGTATGTTTCATATGGTACATTCAGAAATTAGAAAAGAGATTTATGTCCCTGATACAGGATTGCAGTTACCGATAACTCAAAATTTGTATGAAGTTTAGCACATGATTGATCATCTTAAAAGACTTACATTAGTTTGATTTTAACTTCCCGAAGCTTGTATGATTGGTCTTCAAGACATCAGCTATGGTTAGAGAACGACTACCACAAGCTTCTTATCATTGCTGGTTATGGAGTTCCAAGTCTTATGTTTTCCTTGAATGTTTGGTGATAACTAGTTACAGCAAATGGAGCTAAACACAATCCAGGTGAACTAAAGACATCGCACAGCTAAGAAAGATGAGGATAAGCGCAACAAAAGAGATACATTAAATCTCATTCTGTAAATATAAAAAGATGAGATGTCTTTCCTATCATTTATACATGATCCAGGATCAACTATACTATACATGAATAAACAAATCAAGTAAATGTATCCTGTATAAGTGCCTTCAGAATCATAAACCAAAACCTTAGTTCTGCTTCACTTCTCTTCTGTAATACAAAGCAATCAGATCAATCCCATTCCATCCATGCTGCTCCTTTTTCATTTCGGAGTCTCAACTTATGGTGATTCTTCCATTTCAGCACATAACACTTCAAAGCTTCAATCATGGAAATAGGTCACTGAGCCTTTTCAACTACTGCAACTTGCCATGAAAATTTAGCTCTTGCCAGAGGCAATTACCTTGGAAAAATATTACTCAGCTATTTAATCCTGAGCTTTTGCCAGCATGGAATGAACTTGTGCCAGAGATGGATGGTCCAAATCCATTTATCATTAGACTTGGTGAAGCATAGCCCATGAGTTGATGAAGTGGTGAACCTCCAGTTCTTGGTGGCAACTCTTCAATTCCTGAGGACACTTTCTCCGACCTGGACATATTCGAGGAAGACATAGCTGAATCAAAATTTTCCACTGAATTCTTATGTTTGTTTTGAGACTGTTCCAAAGCAAAGTCCTCTTTCTGTTCCATAGGTTTTGAAGAACTACAAGACATATTTCTGACATGAGGATCACCCTGAAGATCATGAAATTGTGCATGAGAAACAGGACCTCCATCAGTGGAGCAGCTACAAGAAGCTGATGTTGAAACTCTTATGTCAATCACATCTCCACTGTCCTCAGTCTCACTTGGTGGAGGTTCTGCAGCAACTAAGTCATAAGGAACTATATGCATTCCCTTTTGAAGCGAAAACTTAAGTACCTTTGAACAAGCACCACATCTTAGCTGATGGAACCTGCTTTTGAAAAGGAGAAAATCTGCAGGTAACTGCAATGGTCTGAAGCAATGATAACAAGTTACAAAAGGTGCCCCACCTGCCATGGGCCGGAGATGTCGCCTAGCTGAATGATGTTTCTCCCTCAAATACCTCTTCAGCTCATGATCCTTATATCTCTGATTATCAGATTTTGTTTCATGGCTCCAAATGGAAAAATCAGACTCCAAATATCTTTGAGGACTAGAGGGGCAAGAGCTGTAGGAATTGTAACAACTATCACCAGGGTGGGCTCTACAAAATCCTTGGTTATGTCGAAAGATGGGTGGAGGCAAATGTTCTGAACAGTGCCAGTCTTGGGGATGGCAGCATAAACAGGAGTTATCAATGTGATGTCTAGTGTTTATTTCACCTCCTGAGAAAGGTATACGCGAGAATCTACTTTGCTGGCTCCAGCTGCTCCTTGGTCCGTGTCTTCCATGATACCTAGGATAAAAATTTTCTTCCTCCAGGGGCTCCTGATAGTAATATGTAGGAAAATGCTTTTGCCTCCAAGGTACATCAATGGAAGTCCTTCCATTGGGCTTTCCATTCAGATGGCATGTTTTGCTAATTTGATCCTGCAGTTCATACACCATTCTTAACAGTTTCATATTTTCCTGTTCAGTGTACTCGGCCTTCTCAAGAGGATAGAAGGCTGAATGAGAAGGGGACTCATCATGCAATTGACGTGAAGGGCCAGCACTTTCATACCCACCCAAGGAAGCCCTTTGAGAGAAAGGAATTTGAGACGGAGATTCATCTCTCTCCAGTCTTTGCCAGTTTCTAGGCGCATGGTGATGCATTACAGGTTCTAGCAGTTCATCTCGACACCACTTGCTGTATTTTTCTGTGGCATAATGTCGCTTATTGGACAAATCTGATGAGAAATTTCTAGCATGATCCTGCATTCCATAATTACCATTCATCATGCCTTTGGTTGGCAACTTGTCCGTTCTGTGACTGTCTTCAGGAACAAGATAGTTAGCAGCCTTATAATTATTCTTAAATGAATTTATTTGCTGGTCAGTGAATTGATCATCCATTCCATCATAAGAAGAGATACTGCCATCATAAGCATGAGAGCTTCTGGTGGTAGTGGATTTAGACAAATATTCAAGATGACCACTGAGCTCAGAACTGGGGCTGACAAAATCTCCACTTTCAAAAGAATCTGAAGACCTTATACGGTCAAACCCACGATCTTCACTTTCCTGAGGTTGCTCCAGATTATCTGATGAAATGACTGCCCCTGCTGCTGCACAAGCAGTAACAGTTAAATTAATTTCTTTTGTAGCAAGTGGGTTGTCAATGCTTGAGCCTTGGATGTTGGAGTCACTCTTTTCATTAGTCTCTAATTCTGAATTTACACCTTCTAACTGGGAGATCTTGTCATTTGTCTCTGCTTCTAAATTTGCTTCTGCTAGCAACATTAACTCTTCAGTCTCACGATGAAGCTCAGTGGAAAAGGAACCTTCCATGGAAACTCCTGGCTGTAGAACGTCGCAATATTCTAAAGGTTCCAACTGTAACTGCTCACTTCCATTTTGCTGCCCATCATTTGATCTATTTACATCAACCTTATCATGATCACTATCACTATCACCAGATATATTTTGATCCTCGTCATAGTGATCACTATGTTGCCCCTCAATTGATAAGTTCTCATCATGCTTCTCACTGTAAGAGTCTCTAGATATGTTCTGATTCCCCCCACTTTCACTATCACAGGATGTATTTTGATCCTTGTCATAGTGATCATTATGTTGCCCTTCGACTGATAAGTTCTCACCATGTTTTTCACTATGAGAGTCTCTAGAAATGTTCTGATTCCCCCCACTTTCTTGACTTAAGAGACACTCTGGAGTGGAAGAAGGAACTTCCTGTGGAGTTGAGCTGCTAGATTCTCCACGTTCAGACACATGAACCAATTTATTTCCCTGAGCAGCTTCTGTTTCTTGCAAGACAGACATGCTTTTGGCAATGACTTTTTTATTTTTGGCTGCAAACAGGAATAAATTGAAATAAGCAGCAAAACAGGAAGTTATTTTTACAAAATGGAGAATAAGGTGTGGAGATTTTTATCTTGTAGGTCACAACAAGAAAGCAGGGCCAATGTCCATTAATGAGGATACCCAAGTTATAATTCTGTCATTACTATTTAACCATTGTGAAAGAATGATACATGTCCAAGCTCAAGTCATTTGAGAAAACCATGAAAGAGGATCAAAAAATTTTGAGAAATCAAAGAATTACACATATCTGTCAGCAAAATAACCAGTACTCTTTCCCACTTTCCGCATGCATCAAAATAACAACAGATTATTTTTCTTTGCAGGATCTATGAAAAGTTTCTTATTTTGGAAAATGCTTACCTACAAGAATTGTACCACACCCTCCACACTTGTATACAGGAACATCTGCCACTTCCGGAAGAACCAATCGACATTTAGGACATCTAACTAATCGAACTTTGGGAGTTGTTCCACTGGCCATATTGCTCCAGATTAACCTGTGATCAGATGTCCACCCTTAATTCTGCCACAGTCAAATTATCCAAAAGGCAGCTTTCAACCACAGGCAATGTCCTGGCAGTAAAACAAAAATCTCCCACCGTCTGCCAACAGATGGAAATACATTTGTTAGATACATGAAGAAAAAAAGTATCACACTGGCACTATACTTTTAAGAAAGGGATATTACACTTCATGACTCTGGAATAATGCCAACCAAATTCCATTCTATGGATGATCTATCAAAAAACAGATACAAGACGGGCTTTGACTGTATTAGATAAGGCATTTTCATGGCAATTCTCAATGATTTTATGTTACATAACAACAGATTTAAATAATAACTTAAACAAGAGAGAGGATCTAAAACTTTATGTAGAAGTGAAGTCAATTGCACCAGAGAAGACACTTAATAAGGAAGGGGGAATAAAACTTCAAAATTAAAAGAGAAAAATACTAAAAGAAGCCATAGTCACATGGAACGAATAGAGTCAATGAAGAGGCAGGACGAATTTAATCAGAAAAAGCGGGGTGCAAGAATTTAAATACGAAAAAGTAGATAACTGTGAAGCATAAACATCTCAAGGCAGAGCAGATAAATGTGAAATGGGGTTGAACTGTTGAAGTTGCCTTATCAAGCCAAGCAAAGGGACAAGAAATCTTGCAAAGCTGAATGATTATTAATAGATCTACTAGTAACGAGCTTTGGCAAAGATATCAATTTGCTCATACATACAAGTTTTCTCAAGAAAAACAAAAAGAAAGAAATTCACCTCACTGGTTAATCAGCATCCACAAATAACACAGTCAACGACAGAATTAAAATGTACATAAACAGCTTGAAAATCTACCAAAGAATGAACAATGAAATATGCAAATGAAGAGAAGATAATCATTGGTCAAGAGCAACATTCAGATTCAGAGCAGAGCATGATGAAGAAAATGAAAGCTCAGAATTAGAGAAAAGAAAAAGAAGAGAGCAGATCGGGATGAGAATCACGTGATAGAAACATACCCTTAGATCAAAAGTGAGCCAGAATGCATAGGGAGTACTCAAAAGAAAAAGAGAAGAAAGCAATAAAGAAAGAAAGGGCAGAGATTGTTTGAGAAAAGCCAGAGAAGTAGGACTAAAGAAAGACCATTAACGAAGCTTGGAAGAGACCAAGTATGGGAAATGAAAATTCCATTGACGTGGGGCAAAAAGTTATGGTCTTTGGTTCTTCTGCTAGTTGTTGTGTCTGTTCAAGTTTTGAAAAATGGTATGGAAGAATGGTAGAGAAGGGTCTTTGGCTCTTTGGCGGGTGGTTTCGTGGGCTTTAAGGCTTCACAGTCAAAACCCCAGACTTCCAATTCTCTCGCTCTGTGTTCCCTCTTTTTTACTTTTCTCTTTTTCTTCTTTTCTTTGCCTCTCTTTCCGCGCTGCATGAAGAGAGAGAAATGGAGAAGCGCGGGCGTTGAGGAGTTAAAGTCGGCGCCGATGAAATTTAACGTAAAGGAAGAGAGAGGGGGGGGGAGAGGAATTCAGATGACGTGGCGTCCTACCTGTCGTGTTGTTAGGTAAAATTGAAAGATACAGTGACAGAGGAAGGGGACAGACTCCATTGTTGGTTTTCGAAGTGTACTAGGACATGTTTTGTCCCAATTCCTGTAACCCGGAGCTTTGATCTGTTTTACCAGGTCAACTCTTCCCCTGTTTTTGTTTTTATATTTTTATTTTATTATTATATAATATAAATTTTGTCATTTTTTGCTGCTGCTTTTTCATACTTTTATTTTTATTCGTACCCAACCAGTTAATTCAATAATTAATATATATTTTCTATTTTATAAAAATAAATTTTATCTCGATACAAAATATAATTAATTCGACTTTTTGACGTTTGTTAATTGCATACAAGCTTTGAAAAAAATACTAAGAAAATACTAAAAAACAAATTAAAATGAGACAAATTAAAACTCCTTAATTCCTTATATTTAATGTCTTTTATTTTTATTTAAGTAATTTATTAACACATTTGGTATTAAAATATGGACTTCTTAATAATTTATGTTAAATACGTACATTTCAAAAACTAACATACATATAATTATAACAAATCTCAAAACTAAATTAAAAAATATATATGATGAATATTTTATCTTAATAAATATTTACATTTTGCATCATTATAAAAAAAAAATCAAGGTATCGATCCTGTAATACAAATAATGTTGATTCAAGAATGTTAATTAAAGTAAAACTGTGGCTCCAAGTAGTTTCCAAAGTGATTCATGGTGAATTGGTGATGGACTAAAAATTTATTATTTTAAAAAATTTAAATTCCAATATAAATTTTTTGTAATTCATTTTACGTAATAAAACTAACATTTTTATATATAAAAAGGTGTGTTGAAGTGATAATGAAAATGTTTTAATATCAAATAACTTTAAATTAAATAATTGTACTATATATTCTAGGATCATGAACAAGGGTCAAATGGTTTAATGGCGGGTTGGGTTTGGGGAATAGAAGTCAAGGGGAATAGGTGGGGAGGGACAGGGTGTGACAAGTGGGACGTAGCCAGGTGGCAGCATCTCATCCAGGGACCCCTTGAAGTCGTAAAGCTCACGCTGACTTCGTTGTCTTAATGGCTTTTGCCTTCGATGACCGGCAAATCAACACTGGCACCACCAAACCCAATCCCCAAATCCGCAGAATTAATATCCAACGATTTGCGATCCTTTGACGTGGCTGCTCCACCACCTAGATTCTGCCACGCGTCACCTGCAGATGGACTGATTGCTTTCCTTGGATTGGTTGGATTGGGCCATCACATATCAATGAATGTATCTTCTTCTAAAATAAACAGACAGTGCGGCCAGACCAGCATCTCGAGAGCCGACCAGACCAGACCAGACCAATGAAAACACCCCATTTTCCCGAATAAACTTCCAATGCCATGCCGTGGTCACAAATGTTCTTCCAACATGCTTACTCATAACCCAAGCTGTAATTCTGTTCATGTGAAATTGATTAAACTATACAAGATCCTATAATCACCCCATTCACAATCCACCAACACTTGGACACAAGACTCTTTGGTGGAACCATACTGAGAAAATGATAAACAAAAGAAATTGATGCAAACCCATGAACTTGTTTAACATTTTTAAAAGTATCCAATTATAAATGAGAAATGCCTTGTTGACCATGACAAATATTGAACATGCCACTTGAAAGGATATTGATTCGACCTGCATCACTTTCTGTCCACTTTGGAACAATTACAATTTATTCATGGAGCTTGACATACGCTTGGTCAAGACTATGGAGTTTAAAGCAATCATTGAACTGACTTCCTCCGAAGTTAAAAAACAGACCATGACTAAGTCCAAGCTGACAAAAGGAAACCACTCAAAAGATTACATCACCCATGCTGGAGCCCGCGGCAGGCCTTGAAATTCTAGATGACAGCCTTTGGCTTCAGAAATTTTCCTCTTGCTAGTTGCTGGGTCAATCATAGATGAGAACGAGATTTCCCACAAGGTAATGTGATGGCAAGTTTTGAAACACAAACAGACTTGTGTTAATTGCTGTCACCTTAAGTGAAAAGAAAACTGCTAAAGAGTTCTATGGCGCATGATTATCCTTTCCCCTCCATGGGAAACACCCATGTATTCTGTCTAATTCTAGTTTTCCATTAATAGAAACCAAAATCAATACAAAACTATCTAACGGTGGCTTAACAAAGGGTTGAAATTAAAGATGTCAGCATTTCAAGCATACACAGGTAAACAAGATTGATATTTGTATGACCCCCTTTCTTCCTTGGGACATAGGGGGGAAAACCACAAATTTCATAACCAAGAATTCAACAATGGAATGTACAAACTGATTCAATCCACACTCAATACAACATGCTAACGAGGGAAATATGACCCAAGACTCTGCAGTACGCAATACAGCAGGAGCCTAATCTGAAAAACCCTGTTTGATTGAAATTTCAAACAACTTGGTTCAAATTTGTCCATTGGCATGTTCAGATGTTTAATAGCATGCAAGGATATAGCATGGCAGCTCAAGATCATCTAAGCATCGAAGCAAGTGTGCAACAAATTACCCAAAACCTCCCAAAGAAAAAAAATATTAAGAACTAATGTGAGAAGTTCATAAAATAATTTTAAAACACATACAACAAAAATGAAAAGAGACAATTTAGACCTGTAGCCTTACTAGTACTCAAATTGATCAAACTCATGAAGCCGTGACCGCATGCCGTTTGTGCTTGAAAAATGCCTGAAATTCTTTGTAACCACTCCTGTAATGCTCCAGTGTGAAGGAAAGCTGTCGTATTACCTCTCTTTTCTCCTCAGCCACATCTAAGATCACAATTCTCTGCCTATCTACTTCCTTCTCGAGGTCTTTTATTCTCAATTTCAACTCATCTTCTAGATTCTTTGCATGTTTAGATCCAGAAATCAGCTGTAGATGTTCCCTGCTTAACTGCTGTAGATGCTCCTCCATTTGCCCAATCTGCAAATCTCGAGAACTAAGCTCAGCCACAAGAGAGTTTACCTTTGCAATGACTCCATCTTTCTCTGCCATAAGCATATCATACTGCAATTTCAGTCTATCAAGGTTCTTGTTCAAAGCTTCCACATGCACACTTTTCTCAGCAACTTCTGCTTTCAACCGACTGATCTGACCTTGCAACCCAATCTCCTGAACATCATGCAAACCTTTGATTTCCATTTTTTCAGCTTCACATTGCCTTAATTTTTCTTCCAACAGCCTTGCATGTAGTTCCCATTCTTTGAGCCTTGCCTCTAAGAGGGTCTCCTTTTCTAACAGACCAAAAATTTCAGACTGAAAACTTGCTTTCTGCAAGGAGAAATTATCCTGGGCATCACATAATGCAACCTTTAATTCTTCAACTTCATGACCACGATGAGATAGATCATTGCTGTACCTAACAATTTGCTCCTGCAGGTTCACAACCTGCTTCCTCTCCATGTCAAGTTCATGCTTAAACATTGCAATCTCTTCTTCTGATGCCTTGATCTTTCCTTTACTTACAGCAAGCTCCTCCATCAACCTCACAACTTCAGAATTGGAGTCTGAAACATGAGTTTCCAGGTCAACTATCTTTTTTTGCAACTCAAGTACTTTATCTTTCTGCAACACAAGATCAGCTTCCCTCAATTCAGCATCCCTCTGCAATGATTCAAGTTGAACAAGCACATGCTCTGCAAGGACAGGAACAGACTCACTCTTCTTGAGCTCTGCTTTCAACCTCACAATCTCCTCTTCTGCAAGCTGGAGTTTTAGGTTGGAATCTCTTAACTCTTCTTCAAACTTGGTAAGTCTTTCAGTCAGTTCTTCATAATTTCTGTTTTCTCTCATCTTCAACTTACCATCTGAAAACTCTTCATCAGCCACTTGTACCTTCTCTTTCATTGTTGGGAGCTCACTTCCTAGCTCAATAACTTTGTCATGTACTACACCATTATCAGTATTCATAGGTAAGCCCATGTAGATGTTGACAGAGGAGCTGAAAGATTCTGAGTCAGAATCTGATGACAATAAAGACGATGACTCAGTGCCTTCCTTCAATGAGAGATCAGAACTACCACCACCAGAACTGAAAAATGCAGCTTGCTGAATAGACTTATGCATACCCAGTTTTTTATCAGGAGTTAACAGTGGAGAGTGTTGATCAAAACCACTACCAGCGCCTTGTATTTGGCAATCAGATGGCAGACTCTTGCGCAATTCCCTGGTCAAATGATCATGGCGCTCAGCCAGCAACAGATAAATACGGTAGAGTTCCTGAACATGGACAATCACCTCTGACTTATTCTGATGATGCATTTCATCATTTTTTGCCAAATCCTCGATGTTGTCTTCCACCAATTTCAGTATTTGTCTGACACTATGCTCCATTTCTGCAGCCAATAATCTTTTATCATTTATAAGTCACAGGATGATTCCATAATTGTTAAATTGGAGACAATGAGTAGCAAAGAGAATATTTTCTGACATGACAAGACCATGTTTTAGTAAACGAATGACCATCCCAACTTAGAGGTATGATTGTCATATGTGATTTAAATCAACAAGAAAAAATAGTGAACAATAAATGCAGGAACTTCTTACAAGGCTGCTTACCCTTGGAATTTTCTGCCAGCCATTCAGAATTCTCAGGATTCAGATGAGCATCCCACCAACATGATTTGGTGTTCTTCGACTCTGCCTTCTTCACATTTACTTCCATCTGTCTCCAAATGATATAAACTACATCGTATAAGACTTCCAAGAAAATAAACTTCAGGAGAAAAAATCTCGAAAGAAAAGTAACAAACTAATTATGTTCTTGGTGTCAACACAAAGGAAAAACTTGATTGACTTATTAGCTACTTAGAATGCTTGGTTTGGCATCCTGTTGTTCTCGCGTGTGCCCAACACACAAAATAAAGATTGAATAGTGCACACGGCATAAGCTCTGCTCTGCAGCAGCTTGACCTCACCACAGTAAACAAACATGAACAAAACGGATAAAGAATTCTAAGCAGAACCCAATCATGAAATCTAAATTACCAGTGCATGAACTTCATTATGGCCTTATAGAAGACATTTTAAGTTCTAGTGGACCAACAAACAACACAGATTCACCTCTTAGAATACCGATAACTCTTCATATTCATGTCAAACCATAGAAAAAAAGCCAATTGGTTAATTAGCTCACAGATCTGATGAAATCTTCAACCCCAATGAGAGATTCACGGATGATGCTATTTTAACACAGTTGTTATGATCACCAACAAAGACCGTCCATCTCCGGTAGAACCGTCACCGTTTCCATTCATAGAATATAAATCTATGAGCAACCCAGTGTTTGTTTTAGCATTCCCCGTTTCAGCTTTCACAAAAATTCTACGAAAGTAATCTAAATAGAACACCCCTTTTCCATTTTTGTACCACTTCCAAAGGTTTTATTTGACATACCAATAGCATAAACAGAATAAATCTAAACTAAAACAAAGAAATTGATGCACATCAGCACAAAAACATGCATGTACAAGAAAAGAAAAATGTGCTGAGATCACTGAGTCACTGACCTTTGCCTGTTCTCTACTGAAAGAATGAGAGAAGCAGAGGAACAATTGAGACTTTGAAATTTGCAGAGATTGGTGAGCAAGAAAAAGAAAGAAAGAGAGGAAGACAAGGAGAGAAGGGTTGAGAGATGGAAGACAGAAGGCCTAAACCCACCACCCTATAATTGAGACTTTGAAAGCAGCGTGGCCATGTTTTTGGGGCATCATCCTTTTGGCGCCTTTTTCCATGGGATTCATTTTTCTTCCCCTCCATCCCCATATTGCCCCTTCCTTCAATTTTCAAATCTCCCCCCTGCTTTTCTTCTTCCCTCCCTATTCCTCCATTTTTGGGAATTTCAAACTTCAAATTTGAGTAGCACTTGATTGTTTACTCTAATTTGTGGGCCAACCATGATTTGTTCTATTTGGCCATTTCCATCTTGTAATTATTGTAATTTGTACTTATTCATTCATCCTACTTTACTTGACATTAATATACACCTAGCTACTACTAAGTAGCTCATAAGCTAATTTACCCCCTACTTCTTTACCTTCCAACCTAATTAATTCAATTTCGAATTTATTAATATTCAATATGAACACTCTACCTCATAATAATAAATCTCGCAAAACATAAAAATTAATATTTCATACTTACAGATAAAAAATACATAAACTTAATATTATTCGATGATTTTTTATTTACATGACATATAATATGAATTGATAATGTAATTATGAAATAATTAAATGATAATTAATATAAAATGTGAAAATTTTCATAAATTTTACATCGTGATTTGTTATTATTTATACGAGAATTTCGATAATATCAATTGATATTAAATTTAATAATTATTAATATTTTGTTAAGAAAGAGAGAAAAAGAAAAACGTAAATCCTAAAGCAAACAAGGTTAATGTAGTAAAAAGGACAAGGAATGATTTAATAAGGGGGATTAAGAGGTGGGGGCGTGGGGACCCATTCACCGACCGGACGGCTGATGGAAACAAGCTAAATAGAAATTCTGGCGGGAAATTTAAATCGGATGGCCCCACCTTGTTTGATTTTTAGCATTTGGACTGGCAAGTGGGAACAGTTGTAATACAATATTTCACGGGTTGGAATTTTAATTTAATTTTTTACGATTTTAAATTTTAAAAATAAAATTTAAATAAGTTTACAAATTATATATTTATATTTTTAATTTAAAAAGTATATTTAATAAATAAATAAACTTTATATATTCAAAATTTATCACATAATATTTGTAACATAATATGTTTATATTTCAATTACTATTATCTTATATTAATTTTTTGTATTTCCTTCTCCCTTTTGATGTAACATCATTTTCCAATTTCAATAACCGAAAACGAAAAATCATTTTCCATATGGGTGATAAGTAATAATGCAAGCAAAGTTTGTCTTGTTGGATTCCATGGGCTTTCGTGTTTTTATATATTATTATTTATTATTTTTTAAAAATATATATTTATTTATTATTGAATTAAATATTCAAATCATTATGTTCTTGGATTTTTAAATAAACAAGAAGAGAGAAGAGATAGAAGCTAGTGTTGATAGATGGATGTGTGGGCCGGGCTTGACCTTTTTCAAAGTTGAACTTGGGTCCAGCTCACTTTTTTAAAATAATTAAAATTGTAATATTATTATTATTGCATATATTTAAAAATTAAATTTAAAGAGATTATTTACTTAATTATTTGACATCACATGTGACAATATAAACTCTTTTTTAAAACAAAATTATTATCATGCAAATACTATCATCGATCAAATTATTAATTTTTTAATAATTAAGTGATTAAAATATTAAAATTTGTAAATATTAATGGGAGTAAATTCATTTATGATGACAATTTGTTCATATTTGATTACTATTCTTCTTCTACCTAAAAACCTTGGCATAGCAAACCTAACTATGTATCATTTGGACCATCTTCTCCTGCCCTGGATCAACAATTCAGTAGGTGTGGCAGCCTAAACCATCTGTCTCATTTACCAACTCTAAGTTTCTTCATTTCTGAAGAAACCCCAACATTGATTTCCAGCAGCAAACAGCCTCTCTGCCTCCATTTTTAATCACTTGGCTCTCCATTAGGCTTAATTGTGAAACCTGTTACTGCCCCTGGTTCTTCTCCTGTAGGTATTGCAGGCTAAATCATCTGTCTATTTCACCAACAACAGTACATTTCTTCATTTCTGAAGAAACCCCGACATTGGTTTCTAGCAGCAAACAGCCTCTTTGCCTCCATTTTTAACTAGTTGGCTCTCCATTGAATCCTGGTCCTATACAAGTGATGGAAGAACTGGGCTGAGGGTTTGGGGATTTGGGTGGGGAAATTAAAGTGGGAAAAACGTTGCAAAAAGCACTGTCACGCACTCATGGAGACAACCAAACGTGGCCTCACCACTTCCTTTCTTTCTGGAACACAGTACTGCACATCTTTGGAACATATGCCTCGAATTCAAAACAATATAAAACCATTTCCATGTACCCAAAAGAAAGGGCTGCCTCTCCGGCTTTTTGTGTGAAGCTGATGAAGATGCTTCAACTCTGTGAAAACACACATGCTTGTTTCCCTATGACCAGGTCAATTATATCTTTGACTTTGTCTCTGCTTTCATTTTGCAGCAATCTGCATTCTAATTCAGCAATTTTGCTGGTATTTTTCCACTGTTCTTTGCAGGTTTTAAGGGGAAATATTCAATACAAGGAAGCTACAATTAACTAATAATTATGAGAAGGCATATGGATTTGGATAATTCTGATTCTGAGGCCTTGTATTGTATTGATAATTAGGGTGGGGACAATGGCAACTTTTTTATGATTCAGGAGGATAAGGACCTTTTGAATTAAGATCCTCTTTACAGTACGAAAAAGCCAACTGCTTAAATAATTGCCTAATCAGTAGTGTTTGGAGGCCTCCAATCCCATTCAGCTTCTACCTCTTTGGTGGCTTCCATTGATAACTTTTAACATGGCCTACCCCATATTTTGACAAAGCATCTTCATCAGTTGTAGATATAGCAATATCATATAAACAAACATTTATGGTGGATGATCAAATCTACCCATCAGCTTCATGTTAAAAAACATTTTGATTCAGTTGTTTGACTTACAAGCACTACAATAAAATACTGCAACTACTGCTACAGCGGAGGTGAAGGAATTGTGTGTCAAGTAAGGCAGGTTTTGAGTGGGGGGTGAAGGAAAACCGTTCATTTTAATTTCTACTAAGGATATGTGTCATGTCAACGGTCCATGCTTGGTGTTTTGGACCGTCTTGACATAGGATAGCTTTACCCTACTAATGATCGCATTGCAATAATAATTCAATTTAAGATGAGAGGAATGGTTGATTTACACAATTGAACGCCTCTAAAACAAGATTCGGACTGAAAGTGGAGCATGTGTCTGCCACTCGATTACAGCTGAGGGCACGGGGCGAACGAGCAGCGCAAACTTTCTTGTGATGGGTAGAATTGTTTGAAGACAACAGGATAATAATACGCAACAGGGTATTATAAGGGGGAGACTAGTCTTGCTATCTCGAATGTCTTGACCATGCCAAGACTTGTTTCCTCTATTAACTTCTCGGGTCCACAGCTCTGTTACTAAATCAAGGAAAATACACATGTACAAGCATTGAAGAAGCCCGATTTGAGTAATTTGCTGGAAGTCTTCATCCCTGAAAACTACACCTTACCAAATGCTATTGCTCCACTGGCAAAACATTGAGATCCGATGGATGTGAACAACTTCACAATATTCTATAATCTGACTTCTGACTACAATTTACTATTTGGCTTCCCTGTCATTTTACCCTTCTTGTCAATTTTCTAGTTTAAGGTGTTGACATTGTGAATGGGGTTTTTTCCCTTTTACTGCCAGGCGCCAGCTGCTTCCCCTTTTTTCCCTTTCCATTTGTGAAATCTTATGAGGTAGGAGACCAGATACAGACAGATTAAATCATTATCCAGTGCTAGGCCTAGCTATGGCTAGGCTGTTTCCAAGCCATTACCTTGTACTACTCATGTGCTGATGCTGATGCTGATGCTGATGAAGAAAGTAAGAAAGCCCCCATGTTGGTGGAGACTCAACAGAAGAAGTAAATATTACAGCATTTGGTTTTGATTTTTCTCTTTTTTCTCACTAGAGTCACATGCACGGACAAGTTCCTAGTGATGAGAACTAAACCATCATTGGATTGATACACTAAAGCAAATTTGGTTCCTTGGTTATGTGGAACACAGCTTTTTCCCAATTGACCAAGCAAAAAATCACATAGTCAATTTGTGGCAAATTGATTTAAGATTTGGCAGGAAACATTGACTGATTAAAACAATTTTAGATTTATACTAACACTATAGTAATGAAAACCAGGATAATGCTTGGCCTACAACATATGAATAAACAAAAAAATGAATTGAATTAAAAAAAGCCAATAAATCATCAAATGCCCGACAATTGTTTTAATAAAATCATTTTTATTTGAGGTGATGAAAGGAAATACAAGAATCCTAGCTGCTCTGTTGAATGACAGATCTCCATTTCCAAAGGTAACTTTTTGTACGAATTTTCCAATTCTTTTATCTTATGACAACCTGCCTTTTTGTGAGTGTATCACACTAAATTCTATGTATAATGCAATTTGGGGTGCCATGTGGGGTCGACCTTGGAGCATTTTGAACGGTTGATAGATCCTGATACAATGGCAGGAGTTGGGATTTTGTTAGTTTATTAGGATGATTAAGATGAAATTAGCCACATCCAAGCATAGCCGATTGAAAACTTCTAATGATGATTAGATGAAGCAAAAATCATGACCCTTTATGACTAGTCCAACTATAAAATGCCAAATCAGCAAGCTAAGGTCTGAGTTTCCAAGGCAACTGATCATTTCGGCTTGAAAGAAAGAAAGGGTAGAAAAAAAAAAACACCATGGGAGAGGAGGTGAGTTTGACGGAAACTGAAATAGCCATGAGTATTCCACACTTTGTGCTGGTGCATGGTATTAGTGGAGGAGCTTGGTGCTGGTACAAAATCAGGTGCCTCATGGAGAATTCCGGCTACAAGGTCTCATGCATCGACCTCAAAGGTGCTGGGATTGATCAGTCCGATGCCAATTCTATTCTATCTTTTGATGATTATAACAAGCCTCTTTTGGACTTCATGTCTGCCTTGCCTGATACTGAACAGGTTATTATCACTGTAAGCTCTTTCCATTTCTGTAAAGTTTCCGAATGCTCTTGAAGTCATGACTCGCACAAGCTCTTTATTAACAGGTAATATTGGTAGGACATAGTGCTGGAGGCTTAAGTGTAACGCAGGCCACTCACAAATTCTCCAAGAAAATCCGCCTGGCTGTATATGTTGCAGCCACCATGCTAAAACTGGGGTACTTGACTGATCAGGATATCAAAGATGTAAAACTTTCTAACTATACTCTTTATCTCACAGACACCATTAAATTTCTGTCTGGTTAGCTTTTTCTGTGTTGAATTCTGTTTGTGTTTTTCTTTCCCTGGTATGCACCTTTAGTCTATGAAACATAGGGGTTGCTAATGCCAACAGATGGCTTTGCCGAGTGCCAACTGTTTTCATGAAGGCTTGGCTGTCAGCCATATCCCTTTATTTTGCATAGGAACCCCAGAAAGTTACAGTCGGTTACATCTCACTCCATTGCTTTCAGCCATCGAGGTTCACAGCTTCCAACCGTGAATCTACTATACCTGTGGTAGCTGCTTAATTTCATAATCCAAAATTAACCCTTCCCTCATCTTACTCTCCTGTTTTCATTTTCAACCGCACAAAAGGCACAAACATGTCTGTGTCTTCTTTACCATCTAAGGAAGTGACTCTCTCTGCAAAAACGGCAGAAGAAGCATCGATAATAGCATCAGTAATACACAACCTTGCCCATGTCACATGCATCCGCATCAGTCCTCTTGGCTTGCATGCCTAGCATGGGAATCAAAAAGCCCTTACCAACTTGAGAATAACCCCCGACCCAAGAGAGAAATTTGGTTAACAATTAGTTTTTGATTCTTTTCACATATGATTATATCTTTTATATACAAGCGATAGAATCTATCCCCCATCAGCCTTCCAATGCTGAAACTCCACACTTCTCATTTAAATGGTGTGTTTTCAAGACATTTTTTTATGACAGGCAGGATCCTTTAAAGTTTGTCCAATTTGATCCTGGCAATCACCCTAGAACATTTGTTTTATAAATACACAAGTATTCTAGAGTAATGTACATAAAAAATTTCTCCCTTCAATTATTGAAAGCATGCAGTTCTTGTCTTCATGTCTCTTGTTGTCTGATGAAGCAGCAAATGTACGTACGTTTTATTCTCTTCTTATCCTTGCAGTTGGGGTTAGCCGACAAATGCCATTGTTCAAGTCTACTTTTTGTTTAACTACAATCTCACATTTTCACTGGACCTTTGTTAATCTATACACCTTCAATGATTGGAACAGGATAGAAACATAATTCTGTGCTTTTGCTTGTTTCCGAGTGAGTTAGTTAGTTAAATTTCATGATTACCTTGGAAAAGTAAGCAATAATGCTGTCAAGTAAGACCTGATATATATATAAATGTGTTAAACAGGGAGTACCTGATTTATCCGAGTTTGGTGACGTGTACGAATTAGGATTCGGATTGGGACCTGGGCAGCCTCCAACCAGTGCCATTGTCAAAAAGGAATTCCAGCGCAAAATCATCTATCAAATGAGCCCTCAAGAGGTAATTTTCATGGCATTTGACAACTACTTTTATTGTCTTGGTCTATTCTATGTTCTGCTTTGGCATGGCATTCTACCCCACCCCATCCTTTTCCTTTTGGGAAAGACAAGAGGAAACTAGCTAGAACAAAATGTCCTCTTGTGCATAGAATCAATAGCCAAATGCACTCCTGAGTCTTGAACCAATCTACAAACATTTTTTTGTACCATGGTATTGTCTGCAGGATTCAACTCTAGCCACAATGCTTCTAAGGCCAGGACCGATCCTGGCATTGCAGGGTGCCCAATTCACAGAAGAGACAGAGAATGCGTATAATGTGCCCCGGGTATACATCAAGACAATGCATGACAATGTTATAAAACCAGATCAACAGGACGCAATGATAAAGAGATGGCCACCATCTGAAGTCCATGTTTTGGACTGTGACCACAGCCCCTTTTTCTCTGCCCCATTTTTACTCTTTGGCTTGCTGGTTAAACTTGCAGCTTCAGCTGGATACAACCAGGCAAAAAATCTATGCATCTCCAGGGCCGCATGATTGAGAGTCTCAAAGCATTCTTGTTTCCAACATAGAATTATTTGTTTGTTGTTTCCTAGAGTGTGAAATGTAATCACAGTTACCTGCCTGTCCTGATGAATAAGATTACTTGTGAAATTATGCACATTCAGCTAAGCTGACCAAAATGTCTGCACAAGTAGATGTAAACAAAACATTAATTTACATATGGTGGATCATCAACCTTTCCACCACAACCATTTCATGTTTTAAAAAATAATAAAAAATGGATCTGTTAATTGTTTGACTTGGATCAAAAGGTTTAAGAGCCAATACAATGCTTTTGTGAATATTGTATGCTTTCTTTAATAAAATTAAGCCACCTACTTCCAATTTAGTGGATAAAGGAAAGCCAGCCATTAATTTCAACTGTATAATATAGAAGAATATCTAACAGAAGACAAAGACTAAAGGCTATGTTTTTGTCTCACCTAAAATGATTGTAGCCACTTGTACTATGCTTTGTCCTCATATTTTATTTGACTACCATCTAATTATTTCTATATTTTATAGATTTTAATTGATCAGCTTGGCTTGAATTGAGAAGCAACAGTGCTGACCAACAAAACGTGTCTTTCACCAATTTAAGTCCAATTTTTCACCAGGGAGCACATTCCAACCCTTGGTTATGGTTATGATGGTTGACAATTTCATTACCAAAAAGAAGAATATAAAGGGTTCAAGGAAATGGGTTTGAGTAATTTGGTAAATGTGTTCCAATGCGACAACTACAACTCATCCAATACCTATCGTCTATTGCCTCCCACTTGCAAATTTGGAATGCAATCAAAGCATAGAACATCATCTCATCCCTATTCATTGTTTTGGCCTAATTTCCTGCCATTTACTGTTGCATGGTGTTGACAAACATTGCTAAAAGTTTCATTTCTCAAAAGGAAAAAAAGTGAAAGAAGAAGAAAGAAAAACTGCCAGCTTTTTCTTCTTAACTATCTCTTCTCCCATCTCCCCTTTTCCCCCCTTTTTCTCCCTTTTCCTTGATGTTGAGTGCTGAAGCTGATGCAGAAAAGAAACTGCCCCTGCACGTTGGTGAAGGATCTACTCAAAGAACTGCTAAATTTTCATTCCAAACTGTTTATATCAGACACGAGAGTGACATTAATATAAGAAATTTATTGGATATGTGACATAAAATTATGAAAGGAACATCAAGCGAGACACCAAAGGAGGACAGAAGATTTTTATTCAGGGTCAGAGTTCAAATCCCAATTTTCAGGTATATGACATCTAACCACCCATCTAGCTACTTTATGGGGTAGCTGGGCACGATCTCTATTAACATGCTTACACTTTAACATTACCATCAGCTAACTTAAGAGAAACCAACCAGCTCCACTTTAATTGGAAGAAGGGAGACAGGCCATATTGCACCAGGTTTAATAGCAGAAAGCAAGGGAACTGAGTCTGTCGAAAGAAAGAAAGAAAAAAACTCCTGGAAGAACTGAATAACATGTCCTTCAATATCATGACCTCCCTTGAATCATCATTATCATCAGCTTTTAACCAATCAGTTCTGTTAAGGATTTAAGGATGGGGATTGAAACACTAGGTTCTTCTATGCTGTTAAAGAATGAAGCAAATGATTTCTCGAATGCCCCCATTATGGATCATTGTTGCAAGATGTTATTCAACCATTTAAACCAGAAACCTTTCATTGTGATTGCATTTTGGTTTTCAATTTGTCTTAATGTTGGGGATCACCTTAAAGTCCGCAGAGTAAATCTGGCAAAATTGCAGTTCCCCACGAGTGAATCCGGCCTTAAATCGTGCTTGCCAGGTTTCATTGCATAACATTTATGCCTTCAATTATTTAAGGCAAGTTCTTGTCTTAATGTTATGTCATCTTCTTTTGGCTACATCTTGATGTTACACTTATGCATCTGATGACCCCAGCTTTAATCCTTACAGGGTTTAGCCGACAATGGCGCTGTTCCAAGTTTTCTTTGCTAACCATTATTGTTGGATCACACCAAATGATTGACTTTGACAGCGTGAGATGGGCCAAAAACATCAGATATTGTGTGTTGGTTGGTTAGAATTCACAATCATCTTTTGTCAAGTACCTGATTTGTCCGAATTTGGTGACTGTGTACGATTTATAAATATTTGGATTAGGAGATGATCAGTCTCCATCCGTTGTCAACAAGGAATTTCAGTGCTAAATCATCTATAATATGAGACCTCAAGAGGTGATATTCATGGCAACTTGCTGTACCTTGTGTGCGCTGTGGCCTAATTTGCATTCTACCCCACATTTACATCCTCTGCTCACACTTTTCACTGCTTGGAAAAGGAAAACCACGGGGGGTGAAGTCAGGCTTACAAACAATAATTTGCTCTGGGGCCCTGGAAACATGAACTTAGATTCCCTGACCTCCCTTAAAGATTTATTTGTAGGTCTGACAACACAGGTATAAGACTATTACCAAAAGCATTGTGGATCATGAGTACTGTGACAGTGTTGAAGCAAGTTAAATGATGGCATTTCTCCAGGAATCAACTCTGGGTGCACTGCTTTAATTTGAGGCCTGGACCATTCCTAAGCATTAGTCAATGCCAGGTTGAGAGAAGAAAGTGATGAAGATGATAAAAGAGGTGGCCGTCCATCTGATGATCTATATATGTTTTGGACAGTGACCATAGTCCCTTTTAGCCTTTCTTCTCCACCCCATTTTTCACCCTTTGGCCTGCAGGTTCTGGTTAAAGCTGCCAATTCTGCTGGATATAACTAGTTAGGGAAATTCAATGCTAGACCCTTGGGCTCTTGAGTCTAATTCAGTAAGTTTCAAGAATAAGCTGGTAAATCTACATTGGTTGAGTTGGGGAATTCATTGATTATAGAACCAACCATGAAAATTAAGATATATATATATATATATATATATATTTATGCCTAGGCTTGCAACCTTGTATGATGTATTTGCATACAACATTATGCATACCTTCAAGTCACTGTTCTGGTTGCAAGCTATGGGGGATGATTCATTGATCATCAACATGAACAAATTTCTCTCAAAACTTTGAAAAGAATAATTTTGGTCAATACCCTTATGTTATTGGCATAAAAATTTCATTTTCTAATGTTCACAAAATATATTATATTTACTTCTGAGTATTTAATTAAATAATTGATACATATATTTTTTATATAAAAGTTTCGGTATTGATATTTTATTTTAAATTTTAAAAATATTTAATATTATTCTTTAATATATATATAAAAAAAGAAATAGAGATGGAGGAATATTATTTTATTTATTTAATTTTTAATATTTAAAGGAGGAGGGGAAATGGCCATTTGGGGCGTATGGATGTGACTAAACCCAAAAGGCGAAGCGGCATAAGCCCAAAACTTTTGACCCTGCTTTTACCTATTCCAACCAATCAAAAACAGCCACGTGATCGCAGATGAGGATTCCGCAATCGGATCGAGGCAGTTTTAATTTCCTATAAACCAGGCCCTCCATGTCCAAAGCTTCCTCTTTTCTTCACGAAAGCCTTCTTCCTGGCCTTGCCTCTGCAATCCTCCAAAGGTCTCTCCTTTTTCTTTATAGTTTATAGATTTGCTGTTCTTCTTGTTCTTGTCTTATTGTTGATCGGATGAATTTTTTTTTCCTTTTTTTTGTGGTTCAAAAATCAAGATTTGAACTTGCAATTGCTTTCTTGATTTGCCGTTGGAATCATTGTCTTCATTTCCTCTTATTATTATTATCAATATTTTTTCTTTCTGAAACGGAAGGGCTGGGCTTTAAGTTGCACAGATCTAGTTATGATTTCGTTGGTTTTTCTATTTTTCATGCTTAATTATATGTGAAATTGCTTTTTTCCTACTCTTTTTTTTGTTGTTGTTATTACTTGTTACTTGCAATTCTGTTACTGAATTTTGCAATCTGGGTCAGGCAGGGTTTCGTCTTCTGCATAAGCGTGTTGAATTGATTTTTGAGCTATAGTTCAAATGGGAAAAATGTACCATAGCTTGTTAGATAAAAAGGGGTATGAACATAAGTGTTTTATATAAATGGTAGAAATGAGCTTATTTATGAAGATGTTTTTAAGTTATACTCAATTATCCAAGTGAATTTAGGTGTGCGATTTGTAGGGTAACATGAAGTTGAATGATGGCAATATGGTATAGAATTCAGTTATTTCAGCTCATCAGGTTTTAATACCTTAAAACTAGAAACTGAAGGGTAAGAGATGGTGTTTTGTGGAAAAGAGGTGTAGTGATGCATTAGTTGTAGTGCTTGAATGTTACAACAAAGTATATATTTTTAGCTACTTAATGTCGAATGTTCACTTTTCTTTGCAAGTTGTTATAAGGCATGCAATAAGCAACCTTTTTCTAAGAAAAATTTGTGTTTTGTGTTTGTTTCCATATTGATAAGTTAAGGTGATTTGTGGGACTTATGTTTAATTCTAGAACTAACTTTGTGTTGCCTTGAGCTACAGCTTTGGAAATCTGATCTTCATGAATTCAAGAAGCACTGTTGCATCCACTGTTTCCTGCAAATCGGGAAACAAGAACGATTTTCTCTTCTGGATTTTGGCTTGCTTGCTTCCAAGTTTTTTAGGAACCCCTGTTGCATACGTTAACTTCCAGCTGTTTAAGGCCATTGTACGGAGCCCTTCTTCATCTATTCACATCTTGGAATCATTCGGAGAGATCCAGCCATAGCCACAAAGCCTTTTCAAAATAAACTGCCTCGTTTCATTTAAGCAGCATGGTTTCCTCTCACTTATCTAGTTTAAATGGGTCCCGTATGCAGAAACCCTTCCAAAATAAGTTTCTTTTCCCCAGTGGACAACCTGATACTTTGGCCTCTGATCATGTTGAGTTTGATTTCTCTGATGTGTTTGGGCCTGCTCCAGTTCAAGCCTCAACAGAAATCAGCACTGAGAATCCTAAAACTCTGATTGTTGCAACTGAATCAAATGAATTGCTTTATGATGAACCAGCTGTCATCTGTAGCCGCTCACATTCCTTGGTTGGGCCCTCAAGTTATGTTAGCCACTCATTGAAGCTTAGCAAGCTTACATTACGTGAAACAGGGGATTCCTTGGAACTTGTAGAAGGAGTTAGGGAAGAGGCTCAAAAAGAATTTAGGAAACCTTCAATTGATGATGTTA